GGCGGCAGCGGCGCGAGCCTCGAGGGACTGCTGGACCTGGGGACATGCGGGACATTTGGGGACATTTGGGGACATTTTAGGCCATTTTGGGACATTTTGGGGACATTTAGGGACATTTGAGGCCATTTTGTGACATTTGGTGACATTTTGTGACATTTTTGGGGACATTTGGAGCCATTTTGGGGCCTTTTGGGGCCATTTTGTGGATATTTGGAGCCATTTTGGTGACATTTTGGGGCCATTTTGGGACAATTTGGGTCATCTTGGGACAATTTGGGGCCATTTTGGGACATTTGGGGACATTTTGGTGACATTTCGGTGCCATTTGGTGACATTTTGGGGCCATTTTGGGACATTTGGGGACATTTTGGGATATTTGGGGCCATTTTGGGGCCATTTTGGGGACATCTGGTGACATTTGGCGCCATTTTGGTGACATTTGGTGACATTTTGGACATTTTGGGGCCATTTTGGGACATTTGGGGACATTTAGGGAAAATTTGGTGACACTTGGTGACATTTTTAGAGACATTTGGGGCCATTTTGGGACAATTTGGTGACATTTTGGGGCCATTTGGAGCCATTTTGGGACATTTGGGGCCATTTTGGGACATTTTGGTGACATTTTGGGGACATTTTGGGCCATTTTGGTGACATTTTGGGGCCATTTTGGGCCATTTTGGTGACATTTGGAGCCATTTTGGGGCCATTTTGTGGATATTTGGTGACATTTTTGGGGACATTTTGGGGACTTTTGATGACATTTGGTGACATTTTTGGGACATTTTGGTAACATTTGGGGACACATTTTTGGGGACATTTTGGGACATTTGGAGCCATTTTGGGGCCATTTTGTGGATATTTGGTGACATTTTTGGGGCCATTTTGGGACATTTGGCGACATTTTGGGGCCATTTTGTGGCCATTTTGTGGATATTTGGTGACATTTTTGGGGACATTTTGGGACATTTGGAGCCATTTTGGGACCTTTTGGGGCCATTTTGGGGCCATTTTGGGACATTTGGAGCCATTTTGGGGCCATTTTGTGCATATTTGGTGACATTTTGTGGCCATTTTGTGGATATTTGGGGCCATTTTGGGACATTTGGGGCCATTTTGGGGACATTTGGTGACATTTCGGTGACATTTGGAGCCATTTTGGGGCCATTTTGGGCCATTTCGGGACATTTTGGGGACATTTCGGGACATTTGGGGCCATTTTGGGACATTTTAGGGACATTTGGGGCCATTTTCGGACATTTTGGTGACATTTTGGGGATATTTGGTGACAGTTTGGTGACATTTTGGGACATTTGGGCACATTTTGGGCCTTTTTGGGGCCATTTTGGGGACATTTTTGGACATGTGGGAATATTTGGGGACATTTAGGGCCATTTTGGGCCATTTTGGGGACATTTGGAGCCATTTTGGGCCATTTGGAGCCATTTTGGGACAATTTGGGGCCATTTTGTGGCCATTTTGTGGATATTTGGTGACATTTTTGTGGCCATTTTTTGACATTTGGGGCCATTTTGGGGCCATTTTGGGCCATTTTGGGCCATTTGGAGCCATTTTGGGACATTTGGAGCCATTTTGGGACATTTTGGTGACATTTTGGGGCCATTTTGGGACATTTGGTGACATTTTTGGGGACATTTTGGGCCATTTGGGGACACATTTTTGGGGACATTTTGGGGATATTTAGGGACACATTTGGTGACATTTTTGGGGCCATTTTGGGGCCATTTTGTGGATATTTGGTGACATTTTTGGGGCCATTTTGTGACATTTGGTGACATTTGGGGCCATTTTGGTGACACTTGGTGACATTTGGGGACACATTTTTGGGGACATTTGAGGCCATTTTGTGACATTTGGTGACATTTTTGGGGACGTTTTGGGGCCATTTTGGTGACATTTGGGGACACATTTTTGGGGCCATTTTGGTGCCATTTTGGGACAATTTGGTGACATTTGGGGCCATTTTGGGACATTTGGAGCCATTTTGGGGCCATTTTGTGGATATTTGGTGACATTTTGGGGCCATTTGGAGACATTTGGGGCCATTTTGGGGACACTTTGGTGACATTTTTGGGGACATTTGGGGCCATTTTGTGGACATTTAGGGCCATTTTGGGGCCATTTTGGGACATTTGGAGCCATTTGGGGCCATTTTGTGGATATTTGGTGACATTTTTGTGGCCATTTTGTGACATTTGGTGAAATTTGGGGACACATTTTTGGTGACATTTTGGGGACATTTTGGGACATTTGGTGACATTTGGGGACACATTTTTGTGGCAATTTTGTGACATTTGGGGACACATTTTTGGGGCCATTTTGGGACATTTTTGGGACACTTTGGTGACATTTTGGGGACAATTTGTGCCATTTTGGGACTCACCTGCTGGTAGGTGTTGGTGGCGATGATTGGCCGCAGGACGGGGGGCGGGGCCAGAGGGTCCCCGGGGGCGGGGCCTGGAGCGCCCAGCACCTCCTGCTCGAACCTGCACCAGTATAGACCAGTATGAACCAGTTAGAGACCAGTATGGACCAGTATAAACCAGTTAGAGACCAGTATGGACCAGTATGGACCAGTATAAAACCAGTATAAACCAGTATGGATCGGTATGGACCAGTATGGACCTGTATGGACTGGTATAGACCAGTATAAACCAGTATAGATCAGTATAAACCAGTATAAACCAGTATAAACCAGTATGGACCAGTATGGACCAGTATGGACCAGTATGGACCAGTATGGACCAGTATGGACCAGTATAAACCAGTATGGACCGATATAAACCAGTATGGACCAGTATGGACCAGTATAAACCAGTATGGCCCAGTATAAACCAATATAAACCAGTTAGAGACCAGTATGGACCGGTATAACCAGTATAAACCAGTATAAACCAGAATAAACCAGTTAGATACCAGTATAAACCAGTATGGACCAGTATGGACCAGTATGGACCACTATAAACCAGTATAAACCAGTATAAACCAGTATGGACCAGTTAGAGACCAGTATGGACCGGTATAAACCAGTAAAAACCAGTATGGCCCAGTATGGCCCAGTATAAACCAGTATAAACCAGTATGGACCAGTATGGACTGGTATGGACCGGTATGGACCGGTATGGACCGGTATGGACCGGTATGGACCAGTATGGACCAGTATAAACCAGTATAAACCAGTATGGACCAGTATGGACCAGTATGGACCAGTATGGACCAGTACAGACCAGTATGGACCAGTATGGACCAGTATGGACCAGTATGGACCAGTATGGACCAGTACAGACCAGTATAAACCAGTATAAACCAGTTAGAGACCAGTATAAACCAGTAACAACCAGTATGGACCAGTATGGACCAGTACGGACCAGTATGGACCAGTATGGACCACTATGGACCAGTATGGACCAGTATGGACCAGTATGGACCGGTATGGACCAGTATGTACCAGTATGGACTAATAAACACCAGTACAACCCAGTATGGCCCAGTATAAACCAGTACAGACCAGTATAAACCAGAATGGACTAACAGACACCAGTATGGACCAGTATAAACCAGTACAAGCCAATATAAACCAGTACGGGCTAATAAAGACCAGTATGGCCCAGTATAAACCAGTACAAACCAGTAAAAACCAGTTACACCAGTACACACCAGTATGACCCAGCAAAAACCAGTATAAACCAGTATGAACTAATAAGCACCAGTATGGACCAGTTCGGACCAGTATAAACCAGTACAGGTCAATATAAACCAGTACGGGCTAATAAGGACCAGTATGGACCAGTATAAACCAGTACAAACCAGTATAAACCAGTATGCACCAGTAAGGACCAGCACGGCCCAGTAATGACCAGTACAAACCAGTAAGGACCAGTATAAACCAGTACAAACCAGTCCAGCCCAGTATAAACTGGTCACTGCCCAGTACCTCCCAGTAACCCCAAGCCCCGCCCCTTTACCCTTAGGCCCCGCCCACCTTTCCTCAAACCCCGCCCCCGTTACCACAGCAACGCAAGGCCCCGCCCCCGTTACCATGGCAACACTGAAATTACGCACAATTTAAGCTCCGCCCACGTTGCCATGGCACCACCAATGAGATCACGCCCCTTCCTTTAAGCCCCGCCCCCGTTGCCATGGCAGCCGCCAAGCCCCGCCCCCGTTGCCATGGCACCAATGAGATCACGCCCCTTCCTTTAAGCCACGCCCCCGTTGCCATGGCACCAATGAGATCACGCCCCTTCCTTTAAGCCACGCCCCCGTTGCCATGACAACACTGAGATCACGCCCCTTCCTTTAAGCCACGCCCCCGTTCCCATGGCACCAATGAGACCACGCCCCTTCCTTTAAGCCCCGCCCCGTTGCCATGGCACCAATGAGATCACGCCCCTTCCTTTAAGCTCCGCCCCCGTTACCATGGCAGCCGCCAAGCCCCGCCCCCGTTGCCATGGCAGCATTGAGATCACGCCCATTTTAAGCCACGCCCCCGTTGCCATGGCAACACCGAGACCCCCCCGCCCCTTTCTTTAAGCCCCGCCCTCGTTACCATGGCAACACGGAAACCACGCCTCTTTCTTTAGGCCCCGCCCCCGTTGCCATGGCACCCGCTAAGCCCCGCCCCCTCCCGTCCGCCATGGCCGCCCCGCCGCTCCCTTTCCCCTCACAGCGCCATCTCCGCCTCCATCTCCTTCAGCCGCTCCTCGCCGCTCTTCACCGCGGCCCCGCCGCCTCCCGCCGCCGCTCCGGGCCCCGCCGCCACCACCACCGCGGCTCCGGGACCGCCTCCCGCCGCCATTCCCGGCCCCGCCGCTCCGGGAGCCGCCGATGCCGCCATGGCCGAGAGCTGCGCCGCCACTTCCGCCCGCCGCGGCGGCACTTCCGGCGCGGCGCGGTGACGTCACACAGCGCGACAATACTTAAAAAACCACTAAAACCGACGCGGATTTGGGGCGAAATCACAAAAAAATGGGCAAAAATGGCGACAAAAAGCGTTTTAATAACGGAGGAGCAGCGCGGGGGGCGCGATCAGCGCTTGAGTTCGCTGTAGAGGTCCCCGCGCGCGCCCTGCAGCTCCTGGTAGTGCGAGTCCTGCTCCGGGGGGCGGGGCGTGGGCGGGGCTAAGGGGAAAGGGGGCGTGGTCACGGTGAGGCCACGCCCAGTGACCCCAGTGACCCCAAATGACCCCCAGTGCCCTCCCAGTAACTCCCAGTAACTCCCAGTTCCCTCCCAGTAACTCCCAGTGCCCTCCCAGTAACTCCCAGTAACTCCCAGTAACTCCCAGCAACCCCCAGTGCCCTCCCAATCCCTCCCAGCAACTCCCAGTAACTCCCAGTGCCCTCCCAGTTCCCTCCCAGTGCCCTCCCAGTAACTCCCAGTAACTCCCAATAACTCTCAGTCCCTCCCAGTAACTCCCAGTAACTCCCAGTATCCCCCAGTGCCCTTCCAGTAACTCCCAGTAACTCCCAGTAACCCCCAGTGCCCTCCCAGTAACTCCCAGTAACTCCCAGTAACTCCCAGTAACTCCCAGTAACTCCCAGTAACTCCCAGTAACTCCCAGTGCCCTCCCAGTAACTCCCAGTAACTCCCAGTAACTCCCAGTAACCCCTCGGACCCCTCCCAGTAACTCCCAGTAACTCCCAGTAACTCCCAGTAACTCCCAGTAACTCCCAGTAACATCTCGGACCCCTCCCAGTAACTCCCAGTAACTCCCAGTAACCCCTCGGACCCCTCCCAGTAACTCCCAGTAACTCCCAGTAACTCCCAGTAACTCCCAGTAACCCCTTGGACCCCTCCCAGTAACTCCCAGTAACTCCCAGTAACCCCTTGGACCCCTCCCAGTAACTCCCAGTAACTCCCAGTAACTCCCAGTAACTCCCAGTGCCCTCCCAGTAACTCCCAGTGACTCCCAGTAACTCCCAGTAATTCCCAGTAACTCCCAGTAACTCCCAGTGACCCCCAGTGACTCCCAGTAACTCCCAGTTCACCCAGTGACCTCCCAGTAACTCCCAGTGCCCTCCCAGTGCCTCCCAGTAAATCCCAGTAACCCCTCGGACCCCTCCCAGTAACTCCCAGTTCCCTCCCAGTAACTCCCAGTAACTCCCAGTAACTCCCAGTGCCCTCCCAGTAACTCCCAGTATCTCCCAGTGCCCTCCCAGTTCCTCCCAGTAACTCCCAGTAACTCCCAGTGCCCTCCCAGTAACCCCCAGGGCCCTCCCAGTAACTCCCAGTAATTCCCAGTGCCCTCCCAGTAAGTCCCAGTTACTCCCAGTAGCCCCTTGGACCCCTCCCAGTCCCTCCCAGTGCCCTCCCAGTCCCTCCCAGTAACTCCCAGTAACTCCCAGTTCCTCCCAGTAACCCCCAGTAACTCCCAGTAAGTCCCAGTAACTCCCAGTAACTCCCAGTAACCCCCAGAGCCCTCCCAGTGCCCTCCCAGTAACTCCCAGTAACCCCCAGTACCCTCCCAGTAACTCCCAGTTCCCTCCCAGTAACTCCCAGTAACTCCCAGTAACTCCCAGTAGCTCCCAGTGCCCTCCCAGTAACTCCCAGTAACTCCCAGTAACCCCTTGGACCCCTCCCAGTAACTCCCAGTAACTCCCAGTAACTCCCAGTGCCCTTCCAGTAACTCCCAGTGCTCCCAGTAACAACTCAGACCCCTCCCAGTAACTCCCAGTAACTCCCAGTAACTCCCAGTAATGCCTTGGACCCCTCCCAGTAACTCCCAGTCCTTCCCAGTAACTCCCAGTAACCCCCAAAGCTCCTCCCAGTGACTCCCAGTAACTCCCAGTAACTCCCAGTGCCCTCCCAGTAACTCCCAGTGACCCCTTGGACCCCTCCCAGTAACTCCCAGTAACTCCCAGTAACTCCCAGTAACCCCTTGGACCCCTCCCAGTAACTCCCAGTAACTCCCAGTAACCCTCAGTAACTCCCAGTAACCCCCAGTGCCCTCCCAGTAACTCCCAGTAACGCCTTGGAGCCCTCCCAGTAACCCCCAGTAACCCCTCAGACTCCTCCCAGTAACTCCCAGTGACCTCCCAGTAACTCCCAGTGCTCCCAGTAACCCTCAGTGCCTTCCCAGTAACTCCCAGTAGCTCCCAGTAACACCTTGGACCCCTCCCAGTGCCCTCCCAGTAACTCCCAGTAACCCCCAGTGCCCTCCCAGTAACTCCCAGTAACCCCTTGGACCCCTCCCAGTAACTCCCAGTAACTCCCAGTAACTCCCAGTACTTCCCCTCTTTAGCCCCACCCACAAAATGGCTGCTCCATCTTTAGCAACGCCCACAAAATGGCCACGCCCTTTTAAGCCACGCCCACAAATGGCCGCGCCCCTTTAGCCCCACCCACAAAATGGCCGCACCCTCTTTAACCACGCCCACAAAATGGCTGCGCTCCTTTAACCACGCCCACAAAATGGCCGCGCCCTTTAGACCCACCCACAAAATGGCCGCGCCCCTTTAGCCCCACCCACAAAATGGCGGCGCCCCTTTTGCTTCACCCACAAAATGGTGGCGCCCCTTTAGCCACACCCACAAAATGGCGGCGCTTCTTAACCCCGCCCACAAAATGGCTCTTTAGCCACGCCCACAAAACGGCCGCGGTCTTTTAGCCCCGCCCACAAAATGGCGGCGCCCCTTAGCCCCGCCCCCAAAATGGTTGCGCCTATGAGGCCCCGCCCACAAAATGGCCGCGCCCCTTTCGCTTCACCCACAAAATGGCGGCGCCCCTTTAGCCCCGCCCACAAAATGGCGGCTTTCCTTAGCCCCGCCCACCTCTCTGTCCCCGCCCCGCCAGCCAATAGGCTCCGCCCGCGATCAGCAGCGTCACGATGACGTCAGCGGCCACGAGCGCCGCGATTGGCCCCGGCCCCGGGAGGCAGCCGGAACATTCTGGAATAAAAAGGGGGGGAGGGGCTCTTAATGACCACGCCCACGCGTGACCTTTGACCTTTGACCCAAGGGAAGGGGGACTCACCTGATTGGGCGGCGGCGGCTCCTGAGGATGAATATTAATGAGGGGGTGGGCTTGTTTAAGCTCCTCCCCACTTAGGCCACGCCCATTTTTCCTCTGGGTGGGGTGGGGGAGGGGCCAAAGGGTGGGGGAGGGGTTTGGGGGATTCTAAAGGGGTGGGGGAGGGGCTCAGGGGGTGGGGGAGGGGCAAAAAAGGGTCCCATGGGGAATGGGGGAGGGGCAAAAATGGGTGGGGGAGGGGTTTTTGGGGGGTGGGCGATGGGATTTGGGGGATGGGGGAGGGGCCAAAGGGTGGGGGAGGGGCAAAAAAGGGTCCTCAGGGGTAGGGGAGGGGCTCGAGGGGGGTCCCCAATGGGTGGGGGAGGGGCCAAAGGGTGGGGGAGGGGCCAAAGGGTGGGGGAGGGGCTTTAGGGGATTCGAAAGGGGTGGGGGAGGGGCAAAAATGGGTGGGGGAGGGGCAAAAAAGGGTCCTCAGGAGTGGGGGAGGGGCTTGGGGGGGTCCCCAGGGGGTGGGGGAGGGGCAAAAGGGTGGGGGGAGGAATTTTGGGGGGATGGACGATGGGTTTTGTGGGGTGGGGGAGGGGGGGGAGGGACCCTCAGGGTGGGGGAGGGACCCCAGGGTGGGGGAGGCGTTTTGGGGGGTGGGGGAGGGGCTTGAGGGGGGTCCTCAGGGGGTGGGGGAGGGGCAAAAAAGGGTGGGGGAGGGGGAGGAAATGGGTGGGGGGAGGGGTTTTGGGGGGTGGGGGAGGGGCTTGGAGGGACCCTCAGGGTGGGGGAGGGACCCCAGGGTGGGGGAGGGACCCGAGGGTGGGGGAGGGGCTCGTGGGGACCCCCGGGGTGGGGGAGGGGCCTCACCCATCAGCAGCAGGACGAGGCCGAAGGTCCCTGGGGGGGCCATGGCGGCGGTGGGGGAGGGGAAAGGGGTGGAGCCCCTTTTTTGTCATCACTTCCTCTTTTTTTTTCCCAAAACTTCCCCTTTTTGGGGTCTATTTTTAGCCACGCCCCTTCTCCACAAGCCCCGCCCATTTTTAAATTAAATTCCGTATAATTAAGCCCCTCCCCTTTGTTAAACCCCGCCCCCTTTTAAAAATCAGCGCGGCCCCTTTAAGACTCAGTGGGCGTGGCCTCAGCACCCCTTAAGCCACGCCCACCACGCTTTTTATTGGTTGATTTCGCTGAGGGCACCCCGCGCGCGCTGATTGGCTCCGGTAACGCCACAAAACCCGGAAGCCGCACTCTGATTGGTGCAATTTGGCGGGGCGGGTGTAAGGCGGGAAAAGCTTTGCGCTGATTGGTTCTCGCTAGGGATGTGGGCGTGGCCTGCGCAAGGCAGGACGGGAAGGCCGCGGCTGAGGCGGCTCCGGGCGGGCGCGACCACTGCGGGTAACGGGGGGGGGGGAACGGGGGGTTTTGGGGGGTTTGGGGGGGTTGGGGGGATTGGGAGGGACCATTTGGGGGTTTGGGGGGTCCTGAGGGGGATTTGGGGGGTCCTGAGGGGATTGGGGGGGATTGGAAGGACCATTGGGGATTTGGGGGGGGTTTTGGGGGGTCCTGAGGGGTTTGGGAGGGACCATTGGGGGATTTGGGGGGTCCTGAGGGGGATTTGGAGGGTCCTGGGGGGGTTTGGGGGGATTGGGAGGGACCATTTGGGGGTTTGGGGGGGATTTGGGAGGTCCTGGAGGGGTTTGGGGGGTCTGAGGGGGTTTGGGGGGTCTGGGAGGGACCATTGGGGGATTTGGGGGATCTGAGGGGGATTTGGGGGGATTGGGAGGGACCATTTCGGGGTTTAGGGGGGATTTGGGGATTTTGGGGGGTCTGGGGTGAACCATTTGGGGATTTGGGGGGTCTGGGAGGGACCATTTGGGGGTTTAGGGGGGATTTGTTTATTTTGGGGGTGTCTGGGAGGGACCATTGGGGGGTTTGGGGGGATTTTAGGCATTTTGGGGGTCCGGGAGGGACCATTGGGGATTTTGGGGGGGGTTTTGGGGGGATTTGGGGGTCCGGGAGGGACCATTGGGGGTTTGGGGGGGGGGTTGGGGGGGATTTTGGGGGTCTGGGAGGGATTATTTGGGTGTTTGGGGTTCTCAGGTGGATTTTGGGGTTCCCAGGATGAATTTTGGGGTTCCTAGATGAATTTTGGGGTTTTTCTGAGTAAATTTTAGGTCATCCCAGGAAAATTTGACATTTTCTAAGTGAATTTTCAATAATTTTAACCCATCCTGGGTCAGATTTACCCCATTCCAAGCGGGATTTTTTCACCAAAATTTGTGAAATTTTGTGAAATTTATGGAATTTCAGGAATTTCTGATTTTCACCTCCCCAAATTTCCCATTTTTTTATTTCCAGGCCATGTCTCCTCCGCGCTGCAGCCGCTGCTCCCTCCCTGCCGCGCTGCTCCGCTCCCGTTCTCTGCTGCCCTTCTGCCGCCGCTGTTTCCTCAGCGCCTTCGAGGCCGAGACGCTGCAGGCGCTGCTGCAGCCGGGGCCGGGGTTTGTGCCCCAAATTTGGGGGGTTCCCACCCAAAATTCCGAGGTTCTGACCCAAAATTCTGGAGTTCTGACCCAAAAAATTCAATATCCGGGAGTTCCATCCCAAAATTCCGGGGTTCTGACCCAAAATTCCGGGGTTCTGACTCAAAATTCTGGAGTTCTGACCCAAAAAATCCAAAATTATGGGATTCCGGCCCAAAATCACGGGGTTCTGACCCAAAATATCCAAAATCCTGGGGTTCTGCCCCAAAATATTCAATGTTCTGGGGTTCCAACCCAAAATATCCAAAATTCTGGGGTTCCGACCCAAAATATCCAAAATTCCAGGGTTCCGACCCAAAAAATCCAGAATTCTGGGGTTCTGACCCAAAATATCCAAAATCCCAGGGTTCTGACCCAAAATCCCGGGGTTCTGACCCAAAATATCCAAAATTCTGGGGTTCCAACACAAAAGATCCAAAATTCTGGGATTTTGCCCCAAAATCCTGCAGTTGCATCCCAAAATATCCAAAATTCTGGGGTTCAACCCCTAAATCCTGGGGTTCCACCCCAAAATCCCGGGGTTCCATCCCGAAATAGTCAAAATTCCGGTGTTCCAACCCAAAATATCCAAAATTCCGGGGTTCAACCCCAAAATATCCAAAATTCTGGGGTTCCAACACAAAAGATCCAAAACTCCGGGATTTTGCCCCAAAATCCTGCAGTTGCATCCCAAAATACCCAAAATTCTGGGGTTCAACCCCTAAATCCTGGGGTTCCGTCCCAAAATTCCGGGGTTCCATCCCAAAATCCTGAGGTTCCATCCCAAAATTTTGGGATTTCCCCCCAAAATTTCGGGATTTCCCCCCAAAATCCTCCAATTTCCCCCCAAAACATTGCGATTTCCCCCCAAAATGTCACTAATTCTCCCCAAAAGCCCGGGATTCCCCCCCAAAATTTAACTAATTCCCCCCAAAACCCTCCAATTTCCCCCCAAAAGCCCCCGAAATCCCCCCAAAACCCTCCAATTCCCCTGCAAAATGTCACTAATCCCCCCCAAAATTTTGGGATTTCACCCCAAAACCCTCCAATTTGCCCCCAAAACCCCCTGAAATCCCCCCAGAATTTCGGGATTTCCCCCCAAAATTTGACGTATTCCCCCCAAAACCCTCCAAATCCCCCCCAAAACTTCACCAATTCCCCCCAAAACTCTCCAATTCCCCCCCAAAATGTCACTAATTTTGGCCAAAACCCTCCAATTTCTCCCCAAAACCCCAGGATTTCTCCCCAAAATTTTGGAAATTCCCCCCAAAACCCTCCAATTCGCCCCCAAAACCCCCTCAAATCCCCCCAAAACCCCGGGATTTCCCCCCAAAATACTGAGATTTCCCCCCAAAACCCCCTGAAATCTCCCCAAAATTCCCTGAAATCCCCTGAAAACCCTCCAATTCCCCCTCAAAATTTGATGTATTCCCCACAAAATTTCACAAATTGCCCCCAAAACCCCCCAAATTCCCCCCAAAACCCCCCAAATTCCCCCCAAAACCCCCTAAAATCCCCCAAAAACCCCGGGATTTCCCCCCAAAACCCCCTGATATCCCCCCAAAATATTGAGATTTCCCCCCAAAACCCCCCGAATTCCCCCCAAAACCCCGGGATTTTCCCCCAAAACCCCCTGAAATCCCCCCAAAACATTGAGATTTCCCCCCAAAATTTCACTAATATTCCCCAAAACCCTCCAATTTCCCCCCAAAACCCCCTGATATCCCCCCAAAACCCCGTGCTTCCCCCCCAAACCCCTCTCCCCATCCCCCTCCCCGGCCACGCCGTGGCGGTGGCGGCGTCGGGCGGCAAAGACTCGGCAGTCCTGGCACACATTTTGGCGCGGCTGAACCGGCGGCACCGGCTGGGGCTGCGCTTGGCTCTGCTCGCCGTGGACGAGGGGATCTCCGGTTACCGGGACGAGGCGCTGCGGGTGCTCCGCGCCGCCGGGGCGGCTCTGCCGCTGCCGCTGGCCGTGATCCGGCACCGGGAGCTCTTCGGGTGGGACCTGGACCAGCTCGGGCCGGCGCTGGGCCGGCGCAGCCGCTGCACCGTCTGCGGCGTCTTCCGGCGCGCCGCCATGGAGAGGGCGGCCAGGGAGATGGGGGCGGACTGGATTGCTACTGGTGAGAGCTGGGAGGGGACTGGTTTATACTGGGAGGGCACTGGGAGGGAGTGGGAGGGAGTTGGAGTTCATAGAAAGACACTGGGATGGACTGGGATATACTGAGAAGGGACTGGGAGGGAGTAGGAGGTGGTAAAATGGGACTGGGATGGACTGGGATGGACTGGGAGGGGACTGGAGCCCTGTACTGGTGAGTACTGGGAAGGCACTGGGATATACTGGAAGTGGACTGGAATATACTGGGATATACTGGGAGGGGATTGGGATATACTGGGAGGGAGTTGGAGTTGGTAAAATGGGACTGGGATGGACTGGGAGGCACTGGGAGGGGACTGGAGCGCTCCACTAGGGAGATGGGGGCGGACTGGATCACCACTGGTGAGCACTGGTTTATACTGGGAGGTGACTGGGATATACTGGGATAGACTGGGATATACTGGGAGGGGACTGGGAGACACTGGGATATACTGGGAGGGACTGGGAGTTGATAAAATGGGACTGGGATGGACTGGGAGGGACTGGAAGTGACTGGGAGTGACTGGGAGTTGGTAAAATGGCACTGGGAGGCACTGGAGCCCTGTACTGGTGAGTACTGGGAAGGCACTGGGATATACTGGGAGTGTAGTGGGACAAACTGGGATAGACTGGGATGGACTGGGAGGGGACTGGGCCATACTGGGAGGCACTGGGAGGGCACTGGGATGAACTGGGCCATACTGGGAGGCACTGGGAGGGCACTGGGATGAACTGGGCCATACTGGGAGGCACTGGGATGAACTGGGCCATACTGGGAGGCACTGGTTTGCACCGGGAGCTCTTCGGGTGGGACCTGGACCAGCTCGGGCCGGCGCTGGGCCGGCGCAGCCGCTGCACCGTCTGCGGCGTCTTCCGGCGCGCCGCCATGGAGAGGGCGGCCAGGGAGATGGGGGCGGACTGGATTGCCACTGGTGAGCACTGGTTTATACTGGGAGGGGACTGGGATATACTGGGAGGGAGTGGGAGGCAGTGGGAGTTGGTAAAATTGGACTGGGAGTGACTGGGAGTTGGTAAAATGGCACTGGGATGGACTGGGATGGACTGGGAGGGGACTGGAGCGCTCCACCAGGGAGATGGGAGCAGAGTGGATTGCTACTGGTGAGTGCTGAGAGATACTGGTTTATACTGGGAGGGCACTGGGATATACTGGCATAGACTGGGATATACTGGGAGGGGATTGGGAGACACTGGAATAGACTGGGAGGCACTGGGAGGGACTGTGAAGGGACTGGAAGTAACTGGGATGGACTGGGAGTGACTGGGAGTCACTCAAAAGGGACTGGGAGGGACTGGAGCCCTGTACTGGTTCATACTGGGAGAGCACTGGGATATACTGGGAAAGCATTGGGATATACTGGGAGTGTAGTGGGACAAACTGGGATAGACTGGGATGGACTGGGAGGGGACTGGGCCATACTGGGAGGCACTGGTTTGCACCGGGAGCTCTTCGGGTGGGACCTGGACCAGCTCGGGCCGGCGCTGGGCCGGCGCAGCCGCTGCACCGTCTGCGGCGTCTTCCGGCGCGCCGCCATGGAGAGGGCGGCCAGGGAGATGGGGGCGGATTGGATCGCCACTGGTGAGCACTGGGAGGGACTGGGATATACTGGGAGGGGACTGGGATATACTGGGAGGGAGTTGGAGTTGGTAAAATGGCACTGGGATGGACTGGGAGTTGATAAAATGGGACTGGGATGGACTGGGATGGACTGGGAGGGACTGGAGCCCCTGTACTGGTTCATACTGGGAGGGCACTGGGATATACTGGGAGTGGAGTGGGATATACTGGGATATACTGGGAGTGGATTGGGAGGGACTGGGAGTGACTGGGAGGGAGTAGGAGTCACTTAAATGGGACTGGGAGGGACTGGGAGCAACTGGGAAGGGACTGGGATGGACTGGGAGTTGGTAAAATGGGACTGGGAGGGACTGGAGCCCTGTACTGGTTCATACTGGGAGAGCACTGGGATATACTGGGAGTGTAGTGGGACAAACTGGGATATACTGGGATGGACTGGGAGGGGACTGGGCCATACTGGGAGGCACTGGTTTGCACCGGGAGCTCTTCGGGTGGGACCTGGACCAGCTCGGGCCGGCGCTGGGCCGGCGCAGCCGCTGCACCGTCTGCGGCGTCTTCCGGCGCGCCGCCATGGAGAGGGCGGCCAGGGAGATGGGGGCGGACTGGATTGCTACTGGTGAGTGGTGGGTTGTACTGGTTTATACTGGGAGGCAGTTGGGATAGACTGGGAGGGGACTGGGATATACTGGGAGGGAGTTGGAGTTGGTAAAATGGCACTGGGATGGACTGGGATGGACTGGGATGGACTGGGAGGGAGTAGGAGGTGGTAAAATCGGACTGGGATGGACTGGGAGGGACTGGAGCCCCTGTACTGGTGAGTACTGGGAGGGCACTGGGATATACTGGGAGGTGATTGGGATATACTGGGATACACTGGGAGGGAGTGGGAGTGACTGGAAGTTTGTAAAAAGTGACTGGGATGGACTGGGATATACTGGGAAGTGACTGGGATGGACTGGGATATACTGGGAAGTGACTGGGATGGACTGGGATGGACTGGGAGTCGCTCAAAAGGGACTGGGATGGACTGGAGTCCTGTACTGGTGAGTATTGGGAGGGCACTGGTTTATACTGGGAGTGGAGTGGGATATACTGGGATAGACTGGGAGGGACTGGGAGTGACTGGGAGTTCGTAAAAAGTGACTGGGAGTGACTGGGATATACTGGGAAGGCACTGGGAGGGACTGGGAGTTGCTCAGAAAGGAATGGGAGGGACTGGAGCCCTGTACTGGTGAGTACTGGGAGAGCACTGGGATATACTGGGAAAGCATTGGGATATACTGGGAGTGTAGTGGCACAAACTGGGATGGACTGGGATGGACTGGGATGAACTGGGCCATACTGGGAGGCACTGGGATGAACTGGGCCATACTGGGAGCAGCACTGGGATGAACTGGGCCATACTGGGAGGCACTGGGAGGCACTGGGATGAACTGGGCCATACTGGGAGGGCACTGGGATGAACTGGGCCATACTGGGAGGCACTGGGATGAACTGGGCCATACTGGGAGGCACTGGGATGAACTGGGCCATACTGGGAGGCACTGGGATGAACTGGGCCATACTGGGAGGCACTGGGATGAACTGGGCCATACTGGGAGGCACTGGGATGAACTGGGCCATACTGGGAGGCACTGGGATGAACTGGGCCATACTGGGAGGCACTGGGATGAACTGGGCCATACTGGGAGGGCACTGGGATGAACTGGGCCATACTGGGAGGCACTGGGATGAACTGGGCCATACTGGGAGGCACTGGGATGAACTGGGCCATACTGGGAGGGCACTGGGATGAACTGGGCCATACTGGGAGGCACTGGGATGGACTGGGCCATACTGGGAGGCACTGGGATGAACTGGGCCATACTGGGATAGACTGGGATGAACTGGGCCATACTGGGAGGCACTGGGATGAACTGGGCCATACTGGGAGGCACTGGGAGGCACTGGGATGAACTGGGAGGGACTGGGAAGGGACTGGTTTATACTGGGAAGGAACTGGGAGGGGACTGGGATAAACTGGGATGGACTGGGAGGGACTGGGAAGGGACTGGTTTATACTGGGAGGGAACTGGGAAGTCACTGGTCCTTACTGGGAAGTTCTTCACCCTTACTGGGAGCAGACTGGTTTATACTGGTTTATACTGGGGGGTGACTGGTTTATACTGGGAGGTCACTGGTTTGTACTGGGAGGTCACTGGTTTGTACTGGGGGTCACTGGTTTGTACTGGAGGTCACTGGTTTGTACTGGGGGTCACTGGTTTGTACTGGGAGGTGACTGGTTTATACTGGGAGTCACTGGTTTGTACTGGGAGTCACTGGTTTGTACTGGGAGTCACTGGTTTGTACTGGGAGGTCACTGGTTTGTACTGGGAGGTCACTGGTTTGTACTGGGAGGTCACTGGTTTGTACTGGGAGGGGGCTGGTTTATACTGGGAGGGAACTGGTTTATACTGGGAGGGAACTGGTTTGTACTGGGAGGTCACTGGTTTGTACTGGGAGGGGGCTGGTTTATACTGGGAGGGAACTGGTTTATACTGGGAGTCACTGGTTTGTACTGGGAGGGAACTGGTTTGTACTGGGGGTCACTGGTTTGTACTGGGAGGTCACTGGTTTGTACTGGGGGTCACTGGTTTATACTGGGTTATACTGGTTTGTACTGGGAGGTCACTGGTTTGTACTGGGAGTCACTGGTTTGTACTGGGTTATACTGGTTTGTACTGGGGGTCACTGGTTTGTACTGGGAGGTCACTGGTTTGTACTGGAGGTCACTGGTTTGTACTGGGAGGTCACTGGTTTGTACTGGGAGGGAACTGGTTTGTACTGGGGGTCACTGGTTTGTACTGGGAGGGGACTGGTTTATACTGGGAGGGAACTGGGAGGTCACTGGTTTGTACTGGGGGTCACTGGTTTGTACTGGTTTGAACTGGGAGGTCACTGGTTTGTACTGGGGGTCACTGGTTTGTACTGGGAGGTCACTGGTTTATACTGGGTTATACTGGTTTGTACTGGGAGGGAACTGGTTTATACTGGGAGGGAACTGGTTTGTACTGGGTTATACTGGTTTGTACTGGGAGGTCACTGGTTTGTACTGGGTTATACTGGTTTGTACTGGGAGGTCACTGGTTTGTACTCGGAGGTGACTGGTTTGTACTGGGAGGTCACTGGTTTGTACTGGGAGGTCACTGGTTTATACTGGGTTATACTGGTTTGTACTGGGAGGTCACTGGTTTGTACTGGGAGTCACTGGTTTGTACTGGGGGTCACTGGTTTATACTGGAGGTCACTGGTTTGTACTGGGAGGTGACTGGTTTGTACTGGGAGGGAACTGGTTTGTACTGGAGGTCACTGGTTTGTACTGGGAGGGAACTGGTTTGTACTGGGAGGGAACTGGTTTGTACTGGAGGTCACTGGTTTGTACTGGGAGGGAACTGGTTTGTACTGGGAGGTCACTGGTTTGTACTGGGAGGTCACTGGTTTGTACTGGGAGGGAACTGGGAGGTCACTGGTTTGTACTGGGAGGTAACTGGTTTGTACTGGGGGTCACTGGTTTGTACTGGGAGGTCACTGGTTTGTACTGGGGGTCACTGGTTTGTACTGGGAGGGAACTGGTTTGTACTGGGGGTCACTGGTTTGTACTGGGTTATACTGGTTTGTACTGGGAGGGAACTGGTTTGTACTGGGAGGTCACTGGTTTGTACTGGGAGGTCACTGGTTTGTACTCGGAGGTGACTGGTTTGTACTGGGAGGGAACTGGTTTGTACTGGGGGTCACTGGTTTGTACTGGGGGTCACTGGTTTGTACTGGGAGGGAACTGGTTTGTACTGGGGGTCACTGGTTTGTACTGGGAGTCACTGGTTTGTACTGGGAGGGAACTGGTTTGTACTGGGGGTCACTGGTTTGTACTGGGAGGGGACTGGTTTATACTGGGAGGGAACTGGGAGGTCACTGGTTTGTACTGGGGGTCACTGGTTTGTACTGGTTTGAACTGGGAGGTCACTGGTTTGTACTGGGAGTCACTGGTTTGTACTGGGAGGTGACTGGTTTGTACTGGGAGGGAACTGGTTTGTACTGGGTTATACTGGTTTGTACTGGGAGGTGACTGGTTTGTACTGGGTTATACTGGTTTGTACTGGGTTATACTGGTTTGTACTGGAGGTCACTGGTTTGTACTGGGAGGGAACTGGTTTGTACTGGGAGGGAACTGGTTTGTACTGGGGGTCACTGGTCTGTACTGGGAGGTCACTGGTTTATACTGGGGGTCACTGGTTCATACTGGGGGTCACTGGTTTGTACTGGGTTATACTGGTTTGTACTGGGAGGTCACTGGTTTGTACTGGGAGGGAACTGGTTTGTACTGGGAGGGAACTGGTTTGTACTGGGAGTCACTGGTTTGTACTGGGGGTCACTGGTTTGTACTGGGAGGTCACTGGTTTGTACTGGGAGGTCACTGGTTTGTACTGGGAGGTCACTGGTTTGTACTGGGGGTCACTGGTTTGTACTGGGAGGTCACTGGTTTGTACTGGGAGGTCACTGGTTTGTACTGGAGGTCACTGGTTTGTACTGGGAGGTCACTGGTTTGTACTGGGAGGTCACTGGTTTGTACTGGGAGGTCACTGGTTTGTACTGGGGGTCACTGGTTTGTACTGGGAGGTCACTGGTTTGTACTGGGAGGTCACTGGTTTGTACTGGGAGGGAACTGGTTTGTACTGGGAAGGAACTGGTTTGTACTGGGAGGGAACTGGTTTGTACTGGGAGGGAACTGGTTTGTACTGGGAGGGAACTGGTTTGTACTGGGGGTCACTGGTTTGTACTGGGGGTCACTGGTTTGTACTGGGAGGTCACTTGTGGTCACTCATTGGTCACTCAGGGTCACTCATTGGTCACTCAGGGTCACTCATTGGTCACTCAGGGGTCACTCAGGGTCACTCAATGGTCACTCATTGGTCACTCAGGGTCACTCAGGGTCACTCGGGGTCACTCAGGGGTCACTCAGGGGTCACTCATTGGTCACTCAGGGTCACTCAGGGTCACTCAGGGTCACTCAGGGTCACTCAGGGGTCACTCAGGGTCACTTGTGGTCACTTCTGGTGACCACTGGTCTCCTCTGATCACTGCTGGTCACTTCTGGTGGCCAGTGGTCACTCCTGGTCACCGCTGGTCACTCTTGGTCACTCTTGGTGACCAATGGTGACTCCTGGTCACTTCTGGTCACTCATGGTCACTTGTGGTCACTCCTGGTCACTCCTGGTCACTCCTGGTCACTGCTGGTCACTCTTGGTCACTCCTGGTCATCAGTGGTCACTCGTGGTCACTGGTGGTCACTCGTGGTCACTCCTGGGTATCATTGGTCACTCGTGGTCACTCGTGGTCACTTGTGGTCACTCATGGTCACTTGTGGTCACTCCTGGTGACCATTGGTCACTCCTGGTCACTGCTGGTGACCATTGGTCACTCCTGGTCACTGCTGGTGACCATTGGTCACTCCTGGTCACTCGTGGTCACTCGTGGTCACTCTTGGCCACTCCTGGTCATTCATGGTCACTCCTGGTCACTCCTGGTGACCAGTGGTCACTCGTGGTCACTCTTGGTGACCAGTGGTCACTCTTGGTCACTCCTGGTGGCCAGTGGTCACTCCTGGTCACCAGTGGTCACTCATGGTCACTCTTGGTGACCAGTGGTCACTCCTGGTCACTCGTGGTCACTCTCCCCCCAGGCCACAACGCGGACGACGTGGCCGAGACGGTTCTGATGAATTTCCTGCGCGGGGACGTCGCCCGACTGCGGCGCGCGGCCAACGAGGCCTGGGGGGCCACCAACGGGCCCTGGTGGGCCACCAACGCCAACGAGGTCACCAACGAGGTCACCGAGGCCACCAACACCAGCGAGGTCACCATGGCCACCAACGCCGGCGGGGTCACCAACGAGGTCACCGAGGCCACCAACGAGGTCACCATGGCCACCAATGAGGTCACCATGGCCACCAACGAGGTCACCGAGGCCACCAACGAGGTCACCATGGCCACCAATGAGGTCACCATGGCCACCAACGAGGTCACCGAGGCCACCAACGAGGTCACCATGGCCACCAATGAGGTCACCGAGGCCACCAACGAGGTCACCGTGGTCAACGAGGTCACCATAGCCACCAACGAGGTCTTGGGGACCACCAATGAGGTCATGGTGGCCACCAAAGAGGTCACCATGGCCACTAATGAGGTCACTGTGGACACCAACGAGGTCACTGTGGTCACCAACAGGATAGTGGCCACCAACGAGGTCACCATGGCCACCAATGAGGTCACCGTGGCCACCAATGAGGTCACCGTGGTCACCAACAGGATGGTGGCCACCAACGGGATGGTGGCCACCAACGACGTCTTGGAGGCCAACAACGGCGCCATGGCCACCAATGAGGTCATGGTGGCCACTGATGAGGTCACCATGGCCACCGACGAGGTCTTGGAGGCCACCAATGGCGACGGGGTCACCAACGAGGTCAGCGCGGCCACCAACGAGGTCACCAACAGGATGGTGGCCACCGATGAGGTCACTGTGGCCACCAACGAGGTCACCGAGGCCACCAATGAGGCCACCATGGTCACCAATGAGGTCACCGTGGACACCAACAGGATGGTGGCCACCAACGAGGTCACCGTGGCCACCAATGAGGTCACCGTGGACACCAACAGGATGGTGGCCACCAACGAGGTCATGGTGGCCACCAATGGTGCCGTGGCCACCAATGAGGTTATCGTGGACACCAACGCCAACGGGGTCACCAATGAGGTCACTGTGGCCACCAACAGGATGGTGGCCACCAACAACGTCTTGGAGGCCACCAATGGTGCTGTGGCCACCAATGAGGTCACTGTGGCCACTGATGGTGCCATGGCCACCAATAAAGTCATGGTGGCCACCAATGAGGTCATGGTGGCCACCAATGAGGTCACCGAGGCCACCAACGAGGTCACCGAGGCCACCAACGAGGTCATCGTGGACACCAACGAGGTCGCTGTGGCCATCAATGAGGTCACTGTGGACACCAATGAGGTCACCGTGGCCACCAACGGGGTCACCAACGAGGTCACCGTGGCCACCAATGAGGTCACCATGGCCACCAACGCCAACGAGGTCACCACGGCCACCAGCGAGGTCACTGTGGCCACCAACGACATCACCATGGCCACCAACAGGATGGTGGCCACCAATGAGGTCACTGAGGCCACCAACAGGATGGTGGCCACCAACAACGTCTTGGAGGCCACCAATGAGGTCGCTGTGGCCACCAATGAGGTCACTATGGACACCAACAGGATGGTGGCCACCAACAATGTCTTGGAGGCCACCAATGGTGCCGTGGCCACCAATGAGGTCACTGTGGCCACCAACAAGGTCACTGTGGCCACCAACGAGATCTTGGGGACCACCAATGAGGTCATGGTGGTCACCAATGAGGTCACCGTGGCCACCAAAGAGGTCACCATGGCCACTAATGAGGTCACTGTGGCCACCAACGAGGTCACTGTGGCCAGCAACGTCAATGGGGCCACCAATGAGGTCACCATGGACATCAACGGGATGGTGGCCACCGACCAGGTCAGCGTGGCCACCAACGACATCACCATGACCACCAATGAGGTCACTGTGGCCACCAATGAGGTCACTGTGGCCACCAATGAGGTCACCATGGCCAACAACGAGGTCGCTGTGGCCACCGATGAGGTCACCATGGCCACCAATGAGGTCACCATGGACACCAACGGGATGGTGGCCACCAATGAGGTCATGGTGGTCACCAACGAGGTCAACGAGGCCACCGATGGGATGGTGGCCACCAACGAGGTCACCGAGGTCACCAATGAGGTCACCATGGCCACCAACAGGATGGTGGCCACCAACGAGGTTGCCATGGCCACCAATGCCAACGGGGTCACCAATGAGGTCATCGTGGACACCAACAGGATGGTGGCCACCAACGGGATGGTGGCCACCAATGAGGTCACCGAGGCCACCAATGAGGTCACTGTGGCCACCAATGAGGTCAGTGTGGTCACCGACGAGGTCACCGTGGTCACCAACAACGTCTTGGAGGCCACCAATGGTGCCGTGGCCACCAATGAGGTCACTGTGGCCACTGATGGCGCCGTGGCCACCAATGAGGTCACCGTGGCCACCAACGAGGTCACTGTGGCCACCAATGAGGTCACAGTGGCCACTGATGAGGTCACCATGGCCGCCGACGGCACCGTGGCCACCAATGAGGTCACCGTGGCCACCAAGAACCCAACGGAACCCAACGAGAACCCAACAAAACTCAACAAGAACCCAACAAAACCCAACGAGAACCCAACAGAACCCAATGAGGAATCAACGGAACCCAACAAAAACTCAACCAAACCCAATGAAAACTCAACGAAACCCAACGAGAACCCAACAAAACCCAACGAGAACCCAACAAAACCCACCAAGAACCCAACAGAACCCAACGAGAACTCAACGGAACTCAATGAGAACCCAACAAAACCCAACCAGAACTCAACAAAACCCAAAGAGAACCCAACAGAACCCAATGAGAACTCAACGGAACCCAACGAGAACCCAACAAAACCCAACGGGAACTCAACGAAACCCAACAAGAACTCAAACAAGCCCAATGAGAACCCAACAAAACCCGATGGGAACTCAACAAAACCCAACGAGAACCCAATGGAACCCAATGAGAACTCAATGGAACCCAACGAGAACTCAACAAAACCCAATGAGAACCCAATGGAACCCAACAAAAACTCAACGAAACCAAACGAGAACCCAACACAACCCAACGAGAACCCAACGAAACCCACCAAGAACCCAACAAAACCCATCAAAAACTCAACAGAACCCAACGAAAACTCAACAAAACCCAACGAAAACCCAACAAAACCCAACCAAAACCCAACAAAACTCAATGAGAACCCAACAAAACCCAACGAGATCCCAACAAAACTCAACGAAAATTCAACAAAACCCAATGAGAACCCAACCAAACCCACCAAGACCCCAACAAAACCCACCAAGAACCCAATGAAACCCACCAAGAACCCAACGGAACCCAATGAAAACTCAACAAAACTCAACAAGAACCCAAAGAAACCCAACGAAAACCCAACAAAACCCAATGAGATCCCAACAAAACCCAACGAAAACTCAACGCAACCCAATGAGAACCCAACGGAACCCACCAAGAACCCAACCAAACCCACCAAGAACCCAACGAAACCCAACGAGAACCCAATGAGAGCCTGGGAAAATTTAATGGAACCCAACAAGAACCCAACCAAACCCACCAAGACCCCAACCAAACCCACCAAAACATCACCAAAACCCACCAAGACCCCAACCAAACCCACCAAAAACCCAACCAAACCCACCAAAACATCACCAAAACCCACCAAGACCCCACCGCTCCCCAAGGCGCCCTCGGGGAAACCCAACCCGGCCTCTCCGTGGCCAACGGTGCCGCGGCTGAAGCCGCTGCGCCACGCGGCGCAGAAGGAGATCGTCCTCTACGCGCATTTCCTGGGGCTGCCCTACGCCAGCGCCGAGTGCCGGCACGCGCCGCTGGCGTTCCGCGGCCACCCGCGGGCGCTGCTGAAGGACCTGGAGGCCGCCCGGCCGGCCGCCGTGGCCGCGTTGGCGCATTCGGGCCGGCGGTTGGCGCTGGGCGCGGCGCCGGGCGCGGGGGCGGCGCCGGGGGCGTGCCGGAGTTGCGGCGGCGCCGCCAGCGGGGAGATGTGCATGGCGTGCGTGCTGGTGGCCGCGCTGGAGCGAGGGCGGCCGCGGGTGGCGTTGGGCAAGCGCGGCATGAGGGTGGGCAACGAGGGCGGGTGGTGGGATGGGGGGGGTGGGCACCAAGATGGCGGCGGTGGCTACCAAGATGGCCGTTGTGGCCACCAAGATGGCGGCGGGGGTCACCAAGATGGCGGCGGTGGCCAATGGGACATGGGTCAAAGGGTCATTGGCCACCAAGATGGCGGCGGTGGCCACTGGGGTGGTCGTCAAGGGGTCATTGGCCACCAAGATGGCGGCAGTGGCCACCAAGATGGCGGCCATGGCCACTGGGGTGGTGGTCAATGGGTTGGTGGTCACCAAGATGGCCGTTGTGGTCACCAAGATGGCGTTGGTTGCCACCAAGATGGCAGCAGTGGCCACCAAGATGGCGGTGGTGGTCACCAAGATGGCGGTTGTGGTCACCAAGATGGCGGCCATGGCTACCAAGATGGCGGCCATGGCCACTGGGGTGGTGGTCAAGGGGTCATGGGCCACCAAGATGGCGGCGGTGGGCACCAAGATGGCCATTGTGGTCACCAAGATGGCGGCGGTGGCCAATGGGTTGGTGGTCAAGGGGTTGGTGGTCACCAAGATGGTGGTTGTGGTCACCAAGATGGCGGCGATGGCCACTGGGTTGGTGGTCAAGAGGTTGGTGGCCACCAAGATGGCGGCAGTGGTCACCAAGATGGCGGCAGTAGCCACCAAAATGGGGTCAGTGGTCACCAAGATGGCGGCGGTGGCTACCAAGATGGCAGTGGTGGGCACCAAGATGGCGGCCGTGACCAATGGGTTGGTGGTCAACGGGTTGGTGGCCACCAAGATGGCGGCAGTGGCCATTGGGACGAGGGTCAAGGGGTCATTGGCCACCAAGATGGCGGCGGTGGCCACTGCAAGAGGGGTCAAGGTGGTTGTGGCTGTAGGAGGGGTGGTCAATGGGTCAGTGGCCACCAAGATGGCGGCGGTGGCCACCAAGATGGTGGTGGTGACCATTGGGGTGGTGGTCAACGGGTTGGTGGCCACCAAGATGGCGTCAGTGGCCACAATGACCACCAGAATTTTGGTGGCCACCATGACCCCAAGACCCCAAATCTTGGTGACCACGATGACCACCAAGGGTTGGATGACCACCAACGTTTTGGTCGCCCCAGTGACCACCAGGCCCAGAATTTTGGTGGCCACCATGACCCCAATGTCCCAAATCTTGGTGACCACCAAGGTTTTGGTGACCACCAAGGTTTTGATGACCACCAAAGTTTTGGTGACCACCAGACCCAGAATTTTGGTGACCAACAAGGTTCTGGTCGCCCTGGTGACCACCAGGCCCAGAATTTTGGTGACCACCAAGGTTTGGATGACCACCAGGCCCAGAATTTGGGTGACCACCAGGCCCAGAATTTTGGTGGCCACCAGACCCAGAATTTTGGTGACCACCAGACCCAGAATTTTGGTGACCACCAGACCCAGAATTTTGGTGACCACCAGACCCAGAATTTTGGTGACCACCAGACCCAGAATTTTGGTGACCACCAGGCCCAGAATTTTGGTGGCCACCAAGGTTTGGGTGACCACCAGGCCCAGAATTTTGGTGGCCACGAAGGTTTTGATGACCACCAGACCCAGAATTTTGGTGGCCACCAGACCCAGAATTTTGGAGGCCACCAAGGTTTTGGTGACCACCAGACCCAGAATTTTGGTGGCCACCAAGGTTTTGGTCGCCCTGGTGACCACCAGACCCAGAATTTTGGTGGCCACCAAGGTTTTGGTGACCACCAGGCCCAGAACTTTGGTGGCCACCAGGCTTTTGGTGGCCACCAGGCTTTTGGTGGCCACCAGGTGCGTGTGGAGCTCCAGAGCCGCTCCGGCCGCTCCGAACGACGTCGGATCCGCGGCTTCGGCCTCGGCCACGGCCGGGCGGGGCTGGGGGACATCTGGGACTTCTGAGGGACCTTTGGGGACATTTGGGGACATTTGGGGACATTTGGGGACATTTTGGGACATTTGGGGACATTTTAGGGACATTTTGGGACATTTTCTGTACATTTTGAGACATTTTGGGGATGTTTTGGGACATTTTTTGGGATTTTGGGGACATTTTGGGACATTTTTGTTTTTGGGGTTTCTTTGGACATTTTTTGGGATATTTCAGAAGTTTTGGGGACATTTGGGGACGTTTTGGGGACATTTTAGGGACATTTTGGGACATTTTGGGATATTTGGGACATTTGAAGACATTTTGGGGACATTTTGGGTCCCTTTGGGGATATTTGGGGACATTTGGGGACATCTGGGACTTCTGAGGGACCTTTGGGGACATTTTGGGACATTTGTGGGACATTTTGGGATATTTGGGGACATTTGGGGATATTTTGGGGATATTTTGGGGATAATTGGGGACATTTGGGGACATTTTCTGTACATTTTGAGACATTTTGGGGATGTTTTGGGGACTTTTTGGGACATTTTATGGACATTTTGGTGACATTTTTGGGACATTTTGGGATGTTTTGGAGGGTTTTGGGACATTTGGGGACATTTTGGGACATTTTGAGACATTTTGAGACATTTGGGGACATTTGGGGTCACTTTGGGGACATTTGGGGATATTTGGGGACATTTTTGGGATATTTTGGGACATTTTGGAGGTTTTTGGGACATTTGGGGACATTTTGGGGACGTTTTGAGGACATTTTGGGGACATTTGGGGACATTTTGGGACATTTTTGGGGTTTTGGGATATTTGGGGCCATTTTGGGCACATTTTGGGACATTTTGAGACATTTTGGGACATTTGGGGTCACTTTGGGGACATTTTTGGGACATTTGGGGATATTTGGGGACATTTTTGGGATATTTGGGGATTTTGGGGACATTTGGGATATTTGGGGACATTTTGGGACATTTTGAGACATTTTGGAGGTTTTTGGGACATTTGGGGACATTTTGGGTCACTTTGGGACATTTTGGGACATTTTATGGACATTTTTGGGGACATTTTGGGATATTTTGGGGACATTTGGGACATTTGGGGACATTTTATGGACATTTTTGGGGATATTTGGGGACATTTCAGATGATTTGGGACATTTTGGGACATCTGGGACTTCTGAGGGACGTTTGGGGACATTTGGGGACATTTTTGGGCTTTGAACATTTTGGGGACATTTGGGGACATTTTGGGGACATTTTGGGGATATTTTGGGACATTTTTGGGATATTTTGGGAAATTTTCGGGGATATTTTGGGATATTTTTGGTGTTTCTTCGGACATTTTTGGGACATTTCAAGAGATTTGGGGACACTTTGGGGATATTTGGGGACGTTTTGGGGATATTTGGGGACATTTTGGGGACATTTGGGGACGTTTTGGGACATTTGCGGATATTTGGGAACATTTTGAGACATTTTGGGGACATTTTGAGGACGTTTGGAGACATTTGTGGGACATTTTGGGGACATTTTTGGGGATGTTTTTTGGGATATTTTTGTGACATTTGAAGACATTTTGGGACATTTTATGGACATTTTTGGGGGTTTTGGGACATTTGGGGACACTTTGGGACATTTGGGGACATTTGGGGACATTTGGAGACATTTTGGGGACATTTAGGGGATATTTTGGGTCACTTTGGGGACATTTGGGGACATTTTTGGGGTTTCTTTGGACATTTTTGGGATATTTCAGAAGATTTGGGGACATTTGGGAACATTTGGGGACATTTGGGGATATTTGGGACATTTTGGGGACATTTGGGACATTTTGGGGACATTTGGGACATTTTGGGACATCTGGGACTTCTGATGGGATGTTTGGGGACATTTTGGGACATTTTTTGGGATATTTTGGGACATTTTGGGGGTTTCTTTGGACATTTTGGGGACTTTTGGGGACATTTTGGGGACGTTTGGGGACATTTTGAGACATTTTGGGACATTCTGGGGACATTTTGGGGACACTTTAGGGACATTTTGGAGGTTTTTGGGATATTTGGGGCATTTGGGGACATTTTTGGGACATTTGGGGACATTTTGGGAACAATTGAGGACATTTTGGGGACATTTTGGGGACATTTCAGGAGATTTTGAGACATTTGGGGACATTTTGGGACATTGTGGTAACATTTTTGGGACATTTTGGGACATTTTTGGGCTTTGAACATTTTGGGGTCATTTTGGGGACATTTCAGGAGATTTTGAGACATTTGGGGACATTTCACGACATTTTGGGACATTTTTGTGGGTTTTGGGACATTTTGGGGTTTTAGGACATTTTGGGGATTTTTTGACCATTTTTATGGTTTTTTTGGGACATTTTGGGGTTTTTTGGGGCCATTTTGGGTTTTTTTGGGTTATTTCGGGTGTTTTTTTGGCCATTTTTGTGGGTTTTTTGGGCCATTTTGTGTTTTTTTGTGACATTTTGGGGTTTTTGGGACATTTTGGGGCCTTTTTTGGGGCGTTTTGGGGACATTTGTGGGATCTTGAGACCTTTTTTGAGATTTTTTTGGGACTTTTTTGGGATTTTTGGCCTTTTCAGGGCGGGGGGGGGCGAAGTGGGCGTGGCCATCTGACTTTATGCAAATGAACCTCTGCTTGGGGCGGGGGGGGCGCGTTCATTCAAACCAACCCAATAAAGCGAGATAAAACCTCTAATTATGCAAATGAGCCTCGTTCTTTAGCACGACTCTCATTAACCACCCGCGGTGGGGTGATTAGGGCGATTAGGGGCGTAATTATGCAAATTTAAGGGCGTGCATGCAAATGACGCGCGGCGAACGCGGAAGCGCGGCGGCGCTATGCAAATGACCTCTATGCAAATGAGCGCTATGCAAATAGCTGTTTGTGAGGGTGAAGGGGGCGTGGCTTATTTTCCATATAAGGAGCGCGCGGTGCGCTCTGACCAATGGGAGCGCGGTATGCAAATCGCGGGGTGACGTTTGCGTCGCGCTGGTGACGTCACGCAGCAATGGCGGCGCCGCGGGTGTCGCTGGGGGCGCTGAAGGAGCCGCTGGGGCTGAGCCGCGGCCTGCAGTGGGTGAGGGGCGCTTTGTACTGGTTTATACTGGTTTATACTGGTTTATACTGGTTTGTACTGGTTTGTACTGGTGTATACTGGGTTATACTGGGTTATACTGGGAGATACTGGGTTATACTGGGTTATACTGGGAGATACTGGGTTATACTGGGAGATACTGGGCTGAAGGAGCCGCTGGGGCTGAGCCGCGGCCTGCAGTGGGTGAGGGGCGCTTTGTACTGGTTTATACTGGTTTATACTGGTTTATACTGGTTTATACTAGGAGCACTAGGTTATACTGGGTTATACTGGTTTATATTGGGTTATACTGGTTTATATTGGGTTATACTGGGTTATACTGGTGTATACTGGGAGTTTGTGCTGGGTTATACTGGGTTATATTGGTTTATACTGGGATAGACTGGTTTTTACTGGGATATACTGGTTTATATTGTGTTATACTGGGATATACTGGGATAGACTGGGTTATGTTGGGTTATATTGGGTTATACTGGTTTACACTGGGTTATACTGGTTTATACTGGGCTATACTGGTGTATACTGGGAGTTTGTGCTGGGTTATACTGGGATATACTGGGCTATACTGGGATATACTGGTTTATACTGGGATAGACTGGGTTATACTGTAATTTCCGGATTTTCCCAAATTTCCGTTTTTTCCCCCCAAATTTCTATCAAATTTTTCCAAATTTCCATTTATTTTCCCCCAATTTCTGTCAGATTTCCCCAAATTTCCATTTCCCCCCGAATTTCTATCAAATTTTCCCGAATTTCCATTTTTTCCCCCCAGTTTCTGCCGAATTTTCCCAAATTTCCATTTCCTCCCCAATTTCTGTCTCTTTTTCCCAAATTTCCCATTTTTTTCTCTCAGATTTTCCCAAATTTCCCATTTTTCCTAAATTTCTCTGTTTTTCCCAATTTCCCACTTTTTTCTTTCAGATTTTCCCAAATTTCCCATTTTTCCTAAATTTCTCTCTGTTTTTCCCAAATTTCCCATTTTTTTTCTCTCTTGGATTTTCCCCAAATTTCCATTTTTTCCCCTCTTGGATTTTCCCTAAATTTCCATTTTTTTCCCCCCATTTTTTGTCGAATTTTTCCAAATTTCCATTTTTTTCCCCCATTTTTTATCAGATTTCCCCAAATTTCCCGTTTTTCTCCCCAATCTTCCTGTTTTTCTGAAATTTCCCTTTTTTTCCCCCCTTGGATTTTCCCCAAATTTCCATTTTTTTCCCCCATTTTTTATCGAATTTTCCCAAATTTCCCGTTTTTTCCCCCAATTTTTATCGAATTTTCCCAAATTTCCCATTTTTCCCCCCAATTTCTGTCTGTTTCTCCCAAATTTTCCCATTTTCCTCCAATTTCTCTCTGTTTTTCCCAAATTTCCCATTTTTCCCCTCTTGGATTTTCCCCAAATTTCCATTTTTTCTCCTTGGATTTTCCCCAAATTTCCATTTTTTTCTCCAATTTTTCTCGAATTTTCCCAAATTTTCCGTTTTCCCCCCAATTTTTGTTAAATTTTCCCAAATTTCCCGTTTTTTCCCCCAGTTTTTCTCCATCTTCGCCTTCGCCACCTGCGGCGGCTTCGAGGGCTCCGTCAGCTTCAGCCTCACCTGCCCGGGGCTGGAGAACGAAACCGTCACCGCCAAATTCGGGTATCCCTTCAGGTGAGACCCAAAATCCACCGAAATCACCCCAAAAATTCATCTGGGACAGGTGAGACCAAAATACACCAAAAACGGCCCAAAAATGGTCCAAAAACGGCCCAAAAACTCACCTGAGACCCAAAATCGGCCCAAAAATGGCCCAAAAACACACCTGGGACACACCTGGGACAGGTGAGACCCAAAATCCACCAAAATCGGCCCAAAAACACACCTGGGACAGGTGAGACCCAAAATCCACCAAAAACGGCCCAAAAAGGGCCCAAAAACTCACCTGGGACCCAAAATCAGCCCAAAACCGGCCCAAAAACTCACCTGGGACACACCTGGGACCCAAAATCAGCCCAAAAATTCATCTGGGACAGGTGAGACCCAAAATCGGCCCAAAAACGGCCCAGAAAATCAACTGGGACAGGTGAGACCCAAAATCCACCAAAATCGGCCCAAAAACAGTCCAAAAACTCACCCGGGACACACCTGGGACAGGTGAGACCCAAAATCCACCAAAATCGGCCCAAAAATTCATCTGGGACAGGTGAGACCCAAAATCCACCTAAATCGGCCCAAAAACACACCTGGGAGAGGTGAGACCCCAAATCCACCAAAATTGGCCCAAAAATGGCCCAGAAACTCACCTGGGACAGGTGAGACCCAAAATCCACCAAAAACGGCCCAAAATCGGCCCAAAAACTCACCTGGGACACACCTGGAACCCAAAATTGGCCCAAAAATTCATCTGGGACAGGTGAGACCCAAAATCCACCTAAATCGGCCCAAAAACTCACCTGGGGCAGGTGAGACACAAAATCCACCAAAATCGGCCCAAAAATTCATCTGGGACAGGTGAGACCCAAAATCCAACAAAAACGGCCCAAAAACAGCCCAAAAACTCACCTGGGACCCAAAATCAGCCCAAAAACACACCTGGGACAGACCTGGGACCCAAAATTGGCCCAAAAATTCATCTGGGACAGGTGAGACCCAAAATACACCTAAATCAGCCCAAAAATTCATCTGGGACAGGTGAGACCCAAAATCCACCAAAAATGACACAAAAATGGCCCAAAAACTCACCTGGGACACACCTGGGACAGGTGAGACCCAAAATCCACCAAAATCAGCCCAAAAATTCATCTGGGACAGGTGAGACCCAAAATCCACCAAAAATGGCCCAAAAATGGCCCAAAAACTCACCTGGGACACACCTGGGACAGGTGAGATCCAAAATCCACCGAAATCGGCCCAAAAATTCATCTGGGACACACCTGGGACCCAAAATCCACCTAAATCAGCCCAAAAATTCATCTGGGACAGGGGAGACACAAAATCCACCAAAAATGGCCCAAAAACGGCCCAAAAACTCACCTGGGACGCACCTGGGACAGGTGAGACCCAAAATCCACCAAAATTGGCCCAAAAATGGCCCAAAAACTCACCTGGGAGAGGTGAGACACAAAATTCACCTAAATCAGCCCAAAAATTCATCTGGGGCATGTGAGACCCAAAATCCAACAAAAATGGCCCAAAAACGGCCCAAAAACGGCCCAAAAACACACCTGGGACAGGTGAGACCTAAAATCCAACAAAATCGGCCCAAAATCGGCCCAGAAACTCACCTGGGACACACCTGGGACAGGTGAGACCCCAAATCTACCAAAAACAGCCCAAAATTGGCCCAGAAACTCACCTGGGGCACACCTGGGACAGGTGAGACCCAAAATCCACCAAAATGAGCCCAAAAATTCATCTGGGACAGGTGAGACACAAAATACACCAAAAATGGCCCAAAACCAAACCTGGGACAGGTGAGACCCAAAAAATGGTGGGATTTACCTGCCCAGGTGTGTTTTTATCACTGCCCAGGTGTGCCCAGGTGTGACTCACCTGCCCAGGTGCCCCCAGGTGTGCCCAGGTGTGATTTACCTGCCCAGATGTGCCCAGGTGTGTTTTTAACACTGCCCAGGTGTGCCCAGGTGTGTCCCCAGGTGTCCTCAGGTGTGCCCAGGTGGGTGCCCAGGTGTGCTCAGGTGTCTCCCAGGTGTGTCCCCAGATGTTTCCAGGTGTGCCCAGGTGTGATTTACCTGCCCAGGTGTGCTCAGGTGTGCCCAGGTGTGTTTTTAACACTGCCCAGGTGTGCCCAGGTGTGCCCAGGTGTGATTTAACACTGCCCAGGTGTGCCCAGGTGTGCCCAGGTGTGTTTTTACCTGTTCCCCTCCCCCACAGGCTGAACCAGGCGACCTTCCACCCCTCCCTGACTCACCTGTGCAACCACACCTGGCCCAGGGACGTTCACCTGGTCGGGGACTTCTCGGGGGCCGCCAGGTGCTTCGTGGGCGTGGCCGTGACCTCCTTCCTCTACAGCCTGGGGGCGCTGGGGGGTTACCTGTGCTACCTGCACCTGTACAGGTGTGCGGGGTCCCGCCTGCCGCTGATGGTGAGTGCCCAGGTGTGCCCAGGTGGGATTTTAACACTGCCCAGGTGTGCCGAGGTGTGCCCAGGTGGGGTCTGGGGACCTGTCCAGGTGTGCCCAGGTGTGTCCAGGTGGGATTTAGGGACTTGGCCAGGTGGGATTTACCTGTCCAGGTGTGCCCAGGTGAGGTTTGGGGTCATGGCCAGGTGGGATTTACCTGTCCAGGTGTGCCCAGGTGTGCCCAGGTGGGGTTTAGGGATGTGCCGAGGTGGGATTTACCTGCCAAGGTGTGCCCAGGTGTTGCCTTTATAAAAGACAACGGCGACCTGGTTACAAGAAGACAGCACGGCAGCCCGGCTTCACCCGGGCTACTCGGACTAACGACACACGCTGGCACCAATTTGGTGGACGGTCGAAAGCGTTTATTATCTTATCTCATGGGTTTAAATAGGTTTGGGGGTCTTTGCTACGTCAGAGGGGGGCTGGGGGTCTCAGGGACAGTGGGTAGTGGAAATTTACCAGAACAGGTGTGGCTACATTCTTCTGGGACTCTTGGGGTTAACTAGATAAGCAGGGGAGAGAGAAGGGGGGAAGGGGCCTATCTTTTCCGTGACATTCCGGTAATCTTCCGCTCCGCCTGTCCCTATCTTACCACATCTCCCCCCTCCTTATCATATACAAAATGAGGTAGTTGTAGATAGAGACATTGGAGTGAGGTACAGACTTGTAACTTGTTAAGGAAAGGGTGGTTTAGTAGATCAGGGTAGATTTTTTAAGGCAGGTGCTGAAGGCTTTAAAAGGTCTAGTCTTTGCTTATTTTGTAAAACTACTTCTGAAAGCGAAGAGATTGATTTCTCTAGATAGGAGATGGATTTCTCGATCTTCTGCAGGTTTTCGTTGATGGTCATTTGCAGCTGGGAGAGTCCGTGTTGTTGGGTTGTGATGGCTGAGACGCCCGTGGCGGTGCTAGCTGCTCTCAAGCCGAGCAGCATCGCGATAGTTATATTTGTGATGATTTTTCTTTTGTGGAGTCTGTTAGGTTCTTCGAGAAGATGGTATATTTTTCCGTCTGAGTGATGTAGGACCTTAGAAACAATCAGAACTTGAACACAGAAGTTGATAGAGTTATTAAACGTGGTAAGGAACATATAAGGATTCACTCTGGGTTTCTGGCAAACTTACATCTTAAATGTGGATGGGACTACTTACTTATTGGTCTTTTGTGGGGGGTGTCTTACTTGTACTGGTGGGGGGTACTGGCTGTGGAGTAATTGAAGGGGGTATTTAAAGCAATGATTTTGTAGAAAAAGGGGGTTTAATGTTATAGCAAAATTAATATGGGTTAGTCAGGTTTGATTTGGTTTCATTTAGGGTTAGTAAAATAGCTTTTAAACAGGCTGGCTATATGGAACACGAAGGATGGGGTATTTATTATGGTGACTTTTTTGAGCACTTTGTTACTTGTTGCACGACTCACTTAAATAGCTGATGAGGGTAGTGGCCTGGGCTAGCTTGTTTCTTTGGCTACAAGCTTGTAACAGTAAAATTGCATGAAGAAAGACACTGTGCATGTTTGGATCTTACCACCGTGGGATTTTCAGGTGTTGTCTGGCAGTTTGGTGGTCTGTTATCTCTTTCTGGAGCAGGGGTGTGTGTGTTACTGGGATGGTTCACAAGCGTGCCCTGCAAACAGAACTCATAGCTTCTCATTAGTTTTGTTTTGAGGGTCAAGTTCGGTTGGTAGCAGTGGTGTGCAGCAGTGGCTCTCATGGTCTCACTACATGGGGGTTCTGATTGCCACAGAGGCAGCATGTCTTCTGCATCCCCGGGGGCTTTCTCCCCACTTTCATGGCTAGGGCTACCCCGGGGTCCCGTATTGGGGGCGTCTCTTGCTGACTCTGCGGCACGGGCGCTGCTTGCGGTGGGAGGGGGCTGGGTTCGCCTGCGCGCTCCCCCCCTGCCCGCGCGCTCCCCCCCCGCCCGCGCGCTCTTTGTGTGTCCGGGGGTTGGGACCTGTATTCTTTGGCGAGATGCTCTTTTTTGTCGCAGCTCTAAGGGGTATTGTGACCGCTTTTCGGTGCGGCTTAGAACTTTATTTGGTTTTGTTTTAAGCTGTGCTGGTTCCGTATCTTTTGTTTTGGGGTTTCGGCTGGCCCCTGCCGGCTCTGTGGGGCCGGTAGATCTGTTGCTAGGCTCCGCGCCGGAAATGAAATGCCAGCGCACTTCCGGGGCCCCGCGCCGTTTTGTTCGGCCCCGGGCTCGCTCCCCCCCTCGGGGGAGGCGCCGCTCCCGCCCCCCCGGCTCGCCGCGCCCCCCGCGGGGGGTGGTTTCTGCCTTATATGGTGGCGGCTCTCGGCGCGGCCGCTGATTGGCTCTGTGCTCCGAGCCGCTCTCCGCCCCTTTCTCCCGCGCGCGCGCGTTTCTGAGATCGCGCGGTGTCCGAGTTTTCGCGCCGGGACCGCCCGGGTTCCGCCCCCCTCCGCGGCACCCGGCGCCATTTTCAAAACGGCCGCATGGCCGCGCGGCCGGGGATTCTCCCCGAGCCGCGGCCCCCGCGACTCCGGTCTCTCCCGCCGGCTCTCGCCAAGAGCGCCTCGCGCGCGGCTGCGCCTTTGACCGCGGATCTCTGACCGGCGGCGGCGGCGGGACGTGTCGGCGAGCCGCGGCTTTTCGGGGCTTTTTTGCGGCGGGGGTTTCCCGGGGGTCTTCCGCGGCGGGGGCGTCTCGGGGGGCCCCCGCGGCGGGGCTCGGCGCTGCTCCGCTCGGCACGCCGGCGGGGAAGCGGCGCGGGGCCGCGGGTGGGTTCGATTTCCGGCGGAAGCGGGGCCGCGGCGCCCGGAACGCGCCGCCCCGGGCTCCGGCGGGAACGGTCCTCTGTGCCGGGCTGGGCTCCGCTCCCCGGCGGGGCCGGGCCGGGCTCTGATCCGGGGAAGGGGTTGTCGCGCTGAGCTTTCTCGGGTCTCCGGTCCCGGGTGGGCTCTCCTCAGGGACGGTCTGCGCTTTTGCCCCCCCCCCGAGCTCGGGTTTGACTAATAAACACATATGTGCTGCACTCCGCGTCTCCTGCTTTTCTATTGCTTTGCGCGGGGTTTTTTTTACCTTGCTCTGTGCCGTAACGCTTTCGCCTGAGGATTTTGCCTCTCTGGCTAGCGTGGCTGTATACTGTTCCCATATCCCCGGATGCATGGCATCCACTGAGCATTCGGCTGCTCCAAGCCCAGGCAGCCTTGCTATAGCAAGATAAAAGTTCCTGAGCTTAAACGCGATATTCCATTGCCTCATACTTACGACCCAGGCGACGCTGTCCATGACGCTCGCGGGTCCGGGGACGTCTCCCCTACGCCTGGGTACGGTTCCACCGTCCTGGCCGCTGCTTCTGTCCAGGTGAAACCCGTCCACCGGGCAAATTTTGTCCCGGGTTTCGGCACCAGATGTTGCCTTTATAAAAGACAACGGCGACCTGGTTACAAGAAGACAGTACGGCAGCCCGGCTTCACCCGGGCTACTCGGACTAACGACACACGCTGGCACCAATTTGGTGGACGGTCGAAAGCGTTTATTATCTTATCTCATGGGTTTAAATAGGTTTGGGGGTCTTTGCTACGTCAGAGGGGGGCTGGGGGTCTCAGGGACAGTGGGTAGTGGAAATTTACCAGAACAGGTGTGGCTACATTCTTCTGGGACTCTTGGGGTTAACTAGATAAGTGGGGAGAGAGAGAAGGGGGGAAGGGGCCTATCTTTTCCGTGACATTCCGGTAATCTTCCGCTCCGCCTGTCCCTATCTTACCACACCCAGGTGTGCCCAGGTGTGATTTGGGGACTTGCCCAGGTGGGATTTACCTGCCCAGGTGTGCCCAGGTGGGGTTTGGGGTCTTGCCCAGGTGTGTCCAGGTGGGATTTACCTGTCCAGGTGGGATTTGGGGTTTGGCCCAGGTGTGCCCAGGTGGGATTGGGGACTTGCCCAGGTGGGATTTACCTGCCCAGGTGTGCCCAGGTGTGCCCAGGTGTGCCCAGGTGGGATTTAGGGACTTGCCCAGGTGGGATTTACCTGTCCAGGTGTGCCCAGGTGTGCCCAGGTGGGGTCTGGGAGGTTACCTGTGCTACCTGCACCTGTACAGGTGTGCGGGGTCCCGCCTGCCGCTGATGGTGAGTGCCCAGGTGTGCCCAGGTGTGCCCAGGTGGGGTCTGGGGGGGCGCTGGGGGGTTGCCTGTGCTACCTGCACCTGTACAGGTGTGCCCAGGTGTGCCCAGGTGGGATTTAGGGACTCTCCCAGGTGGGATTTACCTGCCCAGGTGTGCCCAGGTGGGATTTACCTGTCCAGGTGTGCCCAGGTGTGCCCAGATGCCCCCAGGTGTGCCCAGGTGGGATTTAGGGACGTGCCCAGGTGGGATTTACCTGCCCAGGTGTGCCCAGGTGGGATTTTGATGGAATTTGAGGAGTTTTTAGGAATTCTGAGGGAATTTTGAAGGGAATTTGGGGGACTTTGGATGGAATTTTTGAGGGAATTTTTTCATTTTGTTGGAAATTTGATAATTTTGGTGGATTTTTGATGGAAATTCGGTAATTTTGGTTGAATTTTTATGGAAATTTAATTATTTTGGTGGAATTTTTACAGGAATTTTTAAATTTTGGTGAAATTTTGATGGAAATTCTTTCATTTTTATGGAATTTTAATGGAAATTCATTTATTTTGGTGGAATTTTGATGGAAATCCATTAATTTTAGTGGAATTTTAATGGAAATTCATTAGTTTTTATGGAATTTTAATGGAAATTTGCTCATTTTCGTGGAGTTTTGATGGAAATTCGTTAATTTTCGTGGAATTGTTATAGAAATTCCTTAATTTTGGTGGAATTTTCTTGGAAATTTGTTAATTTTGTGCGATTTTTAAGGATATTTGGGCATTTTTGGTGGAATATCTATGAAAATACGTTAATTTTGGTGGAATTTTTACGGAACTTTGTTAATTTTGGTAGATTTTTAATGCAAATTTGTTAATTCTGGTGGAATTTTTATGGAAATTTGATAATTTTGGTGGAATTTTGGGGGATTTGGGCGGAATTCGGGAGGATTTTGAGCAGAATTCCCAAATTTTGGTGCAAATTTCACCGTTCCCAGGGGGGATTTTGGGGTTTCCCGATGGAATTTGGGGTTTCCCGGTGGAATTTTGGGGTTTTCCGATGGAATTTTGGGATTTCCTGATGGAATTTTGGGGTTTTCCGATGGAATTTTGGGGTTTCCCGATGAAATTTTGGGGTTTTCTGATGGAATTTTGGGAATTTTGGGAATTTTTGGGGGGTTTAACCCTTTGTGCCCCTTCTCTCTCTCTGCTGCCTCAGAAGGAGCCCAGGTAAGTCCCACCCCCAAAATTCCCAATTTTTCCCTCAAAATTCCCTTTTTTTCTTTAAAATTCCCTTTTTTTTTTAAATTCCCGATTTCCCTTTAAAATTCCCAATTTTTCCTTTAAAATTCACATTTTTCCCCTCAAACCTTCACCGTTTCCCCCCAAAAATTCCCTTTTTCCCCCTAATATTTTCCCCTCAAAATTCCCATTTTTCCCTCATTTTTTTCCTCCATTTTTTGGGTCATTTTTTCTCCTTTCTTGCTCCATTTTTTTTCCATATTTGGGTCATTTTTTCCTCTCTTTTAGGTCTATTTTTTCTTCATTTTTTTTCCCATTTTTGGCCCATTTTTCCTCCCTTTTAGGTCTCGTTTTCCTCCATTTTTTTCTCCATTATTGGGTCATTTCCTCTCCATTTTTGGGTAATTTTTCCTCCTTTTTTTCTCCATTTTTTCCTCATTTTTTTCTCCATTTTTTCTCCATTTTTGGGTCATTTTTCCTCCTTTTTTTCTCCATTTTTTCCTCATTTTTTTCTCCATTTTTTCTCCATTTTTGGGTCATTTTTCCTCCTTTTTTTCTCCATTTTTTCCTCATTTTTTTCTCCATTTTTTCTCCATTTTTGGGTCATTTTTCCTCCCTTTTAGGTCTATGTTTTCTCCATTTTTTTCCCCATTTTTGGCCCATTTTTCCTCCCTTTTAGGTCGCTTTTTTCTTCATTTTTTCCCATTTTTGGTCCATTTTTTCTCCATTTTGGGGTCATTTCTCCTCCCTTTTAGGTCTCTTTTTTCTCCATTTTTCCTCCATTTTTTGGGTAATTTTTCCTCCTTTTTTCCTCTATTTTTCCTCCCTTTTGTCACCATTTCTTCTCCATTTTTTGGGTCATTTTCTCCCAGTTTTTTGGGTCTTCCTTTTATTCAATTTTAGGTTTAATTTTTCTCCATTTTTTCCCCATTTTTGGCCCATTTTCCCTCCTTTTTAGGTCTATTTTTCCTCCAATTTTTTCTCCATTATTGGGTCATTTCCTCTCCATTTTTGGGCCATTTTTCCTCCCTTTTAGGTCTCTTTTTTCTCCATTTTTTCTCCATTTTTGGGTCATTTTGTCTCCACTTCCGGATCATTTTTTCTCCTTTTTGTCTCCAGTTTTTTCTCCATTTTTGGGTAATTTTTCCTCCTTTTTTTTCTGCAATTTTTCTCCATTTTTGGGTCATTTCCTCTCCATTTTTGGCCCATTTTCCTCCCTTTTAGATCTATTTATTCTCCATTTTTTCTCTATTTTTGGGTCATTTCCTCTCCACTTTTGGGTAATTTTTCCTCCATTTTTTCTCCATTTTTGGGTCATTTTCTCCCCATTTTTGGGTCATTTTTTCTCCTTTTTTCCTCCAATTTTTCTCCATTTTTGGGTCATTTCCTCTCCATTTTTGGGTAATTTTTCCTCCTTTTTTTCTCAATTTTTTCTCCATATTTGGGTCATTTTTCCTCCTTTTTTTCACCGTTTTTTTTCATTTTTTCACCGTTTTTTCACCGTTTTTTCACCGTTTTTTCCCATTTTTTCACCGTTTCTCCCCATTTTCCCCTCCAGGACCTCCTCTCCCCTCCCCCACTCGGGGCTCATTCCCCCCTCCCCCACCCCATTTTTGGGCCGTTTTTTCTCATTTTTTCACCGTTTTTTCCCGTTTTTTCACCGTTTTTTCCCATTTTTTCACCATTTTCTCCCCATTTTCCCCTTCCAGGACCTCCTATCCCCTCCCCCCTTCCCCTCCCCCATTCTGGGCTCATTCTCCCCTCCCCCATCCCAATTTTGGGCCATTTCTGCTCCGTTTTCGCTCATTTTTTCCCCGTTTTTTCCCGTTTTTTTTCCCGTTTTTCCCATTTTTTCACCGTTTTTTCCCATTTTTTCACCGTTTTCTCCCATTTTCCCCTTCCAGGACCTGCTGGCCCCTCCCCCCTTCCCTCCCCCACTCGGGGCTCATTCCCCCCCTCCCCCACCCCATTTTTGGGCCATTTCAGCTCCATTTTCGCTCAGTTTTTCGGGTTTTTTCCCCATTTTCGGGTCACTTTTTCTCCATTTTACGGCTTTTTTTCCTCAAAATTTTATCTTTCTTTTCCTCAATTTTTTCTTCATTTTTGTGTCATTTCCTCTCCATTTTTGGGTCATTTTTCCTCCCTTTTAGGTCTCTTTTTTCTCCATTTTTTCTCCATTTTTGGGTCATTTCCTCTTCAATTTCGGGTCATTTTTTCTCCTTTTTTTCTCCATTTTTTTTTCCATTTTTGGGTCATTTTTTGCTCGTTTTTTCTCCATTTTTTCTCTATTTTTGGGTCATTTTCCCTCCCTTTTAGATCTCGTTTTCCTCCATTTTTTCTCCATTTTTGGGTCATTTCCTCTTCAATTTCGGGTCCTTTTTTCTCCATTTTTTTCTCAATTTTTTCTCCATTTTTAGGTAATTTCCTCCCCATTTTTGGGTCATTTTTCCTCCTTTTTTTCTCCTTTTTTTCTCCATTTTTGGGTCATTTTTGCTCCTTTTTTCTCCATTTTTTCTCTATTTTTGGGTCATTTTTTATCCCTTTTAGGTTTTTTTTCCTTTTTTTCTCCATTTTTTTCTCCATTTTTGGGTCATTTTTTCTCCATTTTTTCTCCATTTTTATCCCATTTTCTCCCTTTTAGGTCTCTTTTTTCTCCATTTTTGGGTCATTTTCTCTCCATTTTTGGGTAATTTTTTCTTCTTTTTTTTTCCTCCGTTTTTTCTCCATTTTTGGCCCATTTTTTCCCATTTTTTTCCCGTTTTTTCACCGTTTTCTCCCATTTTCCCCCCCAGAACCTCCTCTCCCCTCCCCCACTTGGGGCTCATTCCCCCCCTCCCCCACCCCAATTTTGGGCCATTTTTGCTCCGTTTTCGCTCATTTTTTATGTTTTTTTCCCCGTTTTTGGCCGTTTTTTCACCGTTTTTTCCCATTTTTTCACCGTTTTTCCCATTTTTTCACCGTTTTTTCCCGTTTTTTCACCGTTTCTACCAATTTTCCCCTCCAGGACCTGCTGGCCTCGGGCCTGGTGGCCGCCCTGTGGCTCGTGGCCTCCTCGGCGTGGGCTCAGGGCCTCGGACACGTCCGGGCGGCGGCGGCCGCGCCCCTCCCCCACTGCCCCTCCCCCACCGTGCGCTGCCACCCGGCGGGGGTCACCCCCATGGGGAGTCTGGGGGCGTCGGTGGTGAGCGGGGAGGGGGTTCGGGGGGATTTTGGGGAAATTTGGGGATTTTGGGGGAATTTGGGGGGATTTGGGGTGATTTGAGGGGTCTCAGGGGGGATTTGGGGGGATTTGGGGGGATTTGGGGCGATTTGGGGGGATTTTGGGGAGATTTGGGGGAGATTTGGGGATTTTGGGGGGATTTGGGGTGATTTTGTGGAGATTTGGGGGGATTTTGGGGTGATTTGGGGGAGATTTGGGGGATTTTGGGGGGGATTTTGGAGGTTTTGGGGGATTTCGGGTGGATTTGGGGAGTGGGGAAACTGAGGCACAGGTGGGGAGGGGGGTTTGGGGGGATTTGGGGGGGATTTGTGGGGATTTGTGGGAATTTTGGGAGGATTTGGGGGGATTTGGGGGGGTTTGGGGGGGATTTGGGAAGATTTGGTGGTATTTGAGGGGATTTGGGGGGATTTGGGGGGGATTTGGGAGAATTTGGGGGGATTTGGGGTGGATTTGGGGGGATTTGGGGGGGATCTGAGGGGGATTTGGGGTGGATTTGAGGGGATTTGGGGGGGATTTTGGGGGGTTTGGGGGGATTTCGGGGGATTTTGGGGGGATGTGGGGAGATTTGGGGGGATTTGGGGGGATTTTGGGGCAATTTTGGGGGGATTTGGGGCGTTTGGGGGGGATTTGAGGGGATTTTGGGGGGATTTGGGGGGATTTTGAGGGGGTTTGGGGGGATTTGGGGGGATTTGGGGTGATTTTGGGGGATTTTAGGGGGATTTGGGGGGGATTTGGGGATTTGGGGGGAATTTTGGGGGAATTTGGGGGGCATTTGGGGGGTTTGGGGGGATTTGGGGGAGTTTGGGGGGATTTTGGGGGGGATTTGGGGAGATTTGAGGGGATTTTGGGGGGATTTGGGGGAGATTTTGGGGGGGGTTTGGGGGGATTTGGGGGCATTTGGGGGGATTTTGGGAGATTTCAGGAGGATTTGGGGGGATTTGGGGAGATTCGGGAGGATTTGGGGGGATTTGGGAGGATTTGGGGGGATTTGGGGTGATTTGGGAGGATTTGGGGGAATTTGGGGGATTTTGGGGGATTTTAGGGGGATCTGGGGAGGATTTGGGGGGGATTTGGGGAGATTTAGGGGGATTTGGGGGGGGTCTGGGGGGGATTTAGGGGGATTTGGGGGGGATTGGGGGGAATTCTGGGGGGATTTGGGGGAATTTTGGGGAGATTTGGGGGAATTTGGGAGGATTTGGGGTGATTTTGGGGGAATTATGGGGGGATTTGGGGAAGGTTTGGGGGGGTTTGGGGGGGTTTGGGTGAATTTTGGGGGAATTTGGGGGATTTGGGGGGGATTTGGGGGGAATTGGGGGATTTTCGGGGAATTTTGGGGGAATTTGGGGGGGATTTGAGGGAATTTTGGGGGGATTTTGGGGGGGTTTGGGGGGATTTGGGGGGATTTGGGGGGGATTTGGGGGGGATTTCGGAATTTGGGAGAATTTTGGGGAGATTTGGGGGGGATTTGGGAATTTTGGGGGGATTTTGGGGGATTTGGGGTGATTTGGAGGGGATTTAGGGTGATTTGGGGGGATTTGGGGGGATTTTGGGGGGATTTGGGGGAACTTGGGGGGATTTGGGGGAGTTTTAGGGGGATTTGGGGGGGATTTGGGGGAGTTTTAGGGGGATTTGGAGGGGATTTTGGGGGGATTTGGGGGGATTTTGGGGGTATTTAGGGGGTTTGGGGGGGATTTGAGGGGTCTCAGGGGGGATTTGGGGGGGATTTGGGGGTAATTTGGGGGGGATTTTGGGAGGGATTTGGGGGAAATTTGGGGAGATTTGGGTAAGTTTTGAGGGGATTTTGGGGGAATTTTGGGGAGATTTGGGGGAGTGGGGGAGGGGAATTTGGGGGGATTTTGGCTGATTTTGGGGGATTTTGTGGGGATTTGGGGGAATTTGGGTGGAAATTAGGGAAACTGAGGCAGGGCTGGGGGAGGGGATTTGGGGGGATTTAGGGGGATTTTGGGTGAATTTTGGGGGGATTTGGGGGATTTGGGGATTTTGGGGGGATTTGGGTCGCTGGGGGAGGGGAATTTGGGTGGGTGGGGGAGGGGATTTGGGGGGATTTTGGTGGGTGGGGGAGGGGGATTTGGGGGGATTTGGGGGAATTTGGGGGGATTTGGGTGGGTGGGGGAGGGGAATTTGGGGCAGCGGGGGAGGGGAATTTGGGTGGAATTCGGAGAAACTGAGGCACGACACCGGACGAAGATTTCAGACTCTAAAAAGGGGGCGTGGCTTGCATAAACCAGAAGGGGGCGGGGCTTACAGAGATGGGGGAGGGGCTTCCAAAAGTGGGGGGAGGGGCTCCCTAAGCCCCTCCCCCACCCCCCAAATTTCCTTCCAGGCCTTCGGGTTCCTCAACCTCCTCCTCTGGGCCGGCGGCTGTTGGTTCGTCTACAAGGAGACGCCGCTGCACCGCCCGGCCCCGCCCCCCGCGCCCGGCCCCGCCCCCATGTGACCCCCCGAATTTGGGGGTGGGGGAGGGGCGGGGGTGGGGGAGGGATGAGGGTGGGGTGATGTCGCTCGGCCGAGGGTGGGGGTGGGGTGAGGGTGGGGGGGTTGTTGGGGTGGTCTCGGCTTTGGGTCGGTCTTGACTTTGGGTCAGTCTTGACTTTGGGTCAGGCTTGGGTTGGTCTTGACTTTGGGTTGGTCTTGACTTTGGATTGGACTTTGGGTTGGTTGGTCTTGACTTTGGGTCGGTTTTGGATTGGTCTTGACTTTGGGTCGCTCTTGGCCTTGGGTCAGTCTCAACTTTGGGTTGGTCTTGGATTGGTCTTGACTTTGGGTCAGTCTTGGCCTTGGGTTGGTTGGTCTTGACTTTAGGTTGGTCTCGACCTTGGGTTGGTCTCGGCCTTGGATTGGTCTTGACTTTGGGTCGGTCTTGACTTTGGGTCAGTCGCAAGTTTGGGTCGGTCTTGGATTGGTCTCGACTTTGGGTGGGTCTCGACTTTGGGTTGGTCTTGGGTCGGTCTCGACTTTGGGTTGGTCTCGACTTTGGGTCAGTCTTGACTTTGGGTTGGACTTTGGGTTGGTTCTGTCTTGGTTTTGGATTGGTCTTGACTTTGGGTCGGTCTTGGATTGGTCTCAGCTTCGGGTCGGTCTTGGCCTTGGGTCGATCTCGACTTCGGGTCGGTCTCGACTTTGGGTCGGTCTTGACCATGGGTTAGTCACGACTTTGGGTTGGTCTCGACTTTGAATTGGTCTCGATTTTGGGTTGGTCTCGACTTTGGGTCGGTCTCGACTTTGGGTCGGTCTTGACCTTGGGTCGGTCTTGGATTGGTCTTGACTTTGGGGTCAGTCTCGACTTTGTTTTGGTCTCTACCTTGGATTGGTCTTGACTTTGGGTTGTTCTTGACTTTGGGTCAGTCTTGGATTGGTCTCGACTTTGGGTTGGTGTCGACTTTGGGTCACTCTTGGTCTTGGGTTAGTCTTGACTTTGGGTCGGTCTCAACTTTGGGTTGGTCTTGACTTCAGGTTGGTTTTGACTTTGGGTTGGTCTAGGTCTTGGGTTGGTCTTGGATTGGTCTTGACTTTGGGGTGGTCTCGACTTTGGGTCGGTTTTGACTTTGGGTCGGTCTCGACTTTGGATTGGTCTTGACTTTGGGTCGGTCTCGGCCTTGGGTTGGTCTGAACGTTGGGTCGGTCTTGGATTGGTCTTGACTTTGAGTTGGTCTCAACTTTGGGTCAGTCTTGGCCTTGGGTTGGTCTCGACTTTGGGTTGGACTTTAAGTTGGTTGGTCTTGGTTTTGGGTCGGTCTTGGCCTTGGATTGGTCTTGGATTGGTCTTGACTTTGGATTGGTCTCGACTTTGGGTCAGTCTTGGATTGGTTTTGACTTTGGGTCGGTCTCGACTTTGGGTTAGTCTTGACTTTGGGTTGGTCTTGGCCTTGGATTGGTCTTGACTTTGGGTTAGTCTGGACTTTGGGTTGGTCTCAACTTCGGGTTGGTCGTTGGGTTGGTTGGTCTTGGTCTTGGGTTGGTCTTGACTTTGGGTCAGTCTTGGAGTGGTCTTGACTTTGGGTCGGTCTTGACTTTGGGTCAGTCTCGACTTTGGATTGGTCTTGACTTTGGGTCGGTCTCAACTTCGGGTTAGTCTTAGATTGGTCTCGACTTCAGGTTGGTCTTGACTTTGGGTTGGTTGGTCTCGACTTTGGGTCACTCTTGGCCTTGGGTCGGTCTTGACTTTGGGTCGGTCTTGGATTGGTCTTGACTTTGGGTCAGTCTTGACTTTGGGTCAGTCTTGACTTTGGGTGGGTCTCAACTTTGGGTCGGTCTCGACATTGGGTCGGTCTTGACTTTGAGTTGGTCTCAACATTGGGTTGGTCTCGACTTTGGGTCGGTTTTGACTTTGGGTCGGTCTTGACTTTGGTTTGGTCTCAACATTGGGTTGGTCTTGGCCTTGGGTTGGTCTTGGATTGGTCTCGACTTCAGGTCCGTCTTGAGTTTGGATTGGTCTTGACTTTGGGTCAGTCTTGACTTTGGGTCAGTCTTGACTTCAGGTTGGTCTCGGCTTTGGGTTGTTCTTGGTTTGGTCTTGACTTTGGGTTGGTTGCAAGTTTGGGTCGGTCTTGGATTGGTCATGACTTTGGGTCAGTCTCGACTTTGGGTTTGTCTTGGATCAGTCACGACTTCAGGTTGGTCTCGACTTTGGATCAGTCACGACTTTGGGTCGGTCTTAGCCTTGGGTCGGTCTTGGATTGGTCTCGACTTTGGGTCGGTCTTGGTGTGGTCTCGACTTCAGGTTTGTCTCGAGTTTGGGTCGGTCTCGACTTTGCTTGATCTTGACTTATGGTCGGTCATGGATTGGTCTTGACTTTGGGTTGGCCTCAACTTTGGGTCAGTGTTGACATTGGGTTGGTCTTGACTTTGGATTGGTCTTGACTTTGGGTCAGTCTCGACTTTGGGTCGGTCTCGACTTTGGGTTGGTCTTGACTTTGGGTCGGTTTTGACCATGGGTTAGTCATGAGTTTGGGTTGGTCTTGGATTGGTCTCGACTTTGGGTCGGTCTCGACTTTGGGTTGGACTTTGAGTTGGTTGGTCTTGGTTTTGGATTGGTCTCGACTTTGGGTTGGTCTCATCTTTGGGTTGGTCGTTGGGTTGGTCTCGACTTTAGGTTGGGTTTGGTTGACCTTGGGTTGGGTTGAGTTGGGTTTGGTTGACCTTTAGTTGGATTGGGTTGATTTTGGTTGACTTTGGTTGACCTTTGGTTGACCTTTGGTTGGGTTGACCTTTGGTTGACCTTTGGTTGGGTTTGATTGACCTTTGGTTGACCTTTGGTTGACCTTTGGTTGGGTTGGGTTGGGTTGACCTTTGGTTGGATTGGGTTGGGTTGGGTTGGGTTGACCTTTGGTTGACCTTTGGTTGACCTTTGGTTGCGTTGACCTTTTCCAACCTCCCCTTGACCCCTCCCCCTTCGCGGCCCCTGATTGGCCCTTTCCCCCGTCCCCTGCTCCCATTGGCTGCTCCCCCCGGTGGGCGTGGCCGAACACTCCGCCCCTCCCCCGCCCGACTCCGCGTTTGTCAATAAAGGAAATTCCGGAAACGGCCCCAAATTTATCGATTCTGACCCCAAACCCGCGTCCCCTCCTGGTGGCATCTTGGTGGCATCTTGGTGGCATCTTGGTGGCATCTTGGTGGCACCTTGGTGGTCCTGGTGGCTTCTTGGTGGCCCTGGTGGGTTCTTGGTGGCACTTTGGTGGCCCTGGTGGCATCTTGGTGGCACCTTGGTGGTCCTGGTGGCTTCTTGGTGGCCTTGGTGGGTTCTTGGTGGCCCTGGTGGGACCTTGGTGGGTTCTTGGTGGCCTTGGTGGCATCTTGGTGGCCCAAATGTCCCCAACTGCTGTGTCCCCACGATGTCCCCAAGTGTCTCCAAGATGTCCCGAGGTGTCCCCAAGGTGTCCCCAAGTGTCCCCATGATGTCCCCATGTCCTTGAGGTGTTCTCAAAGTGTCTCCAAGGTGTCCCCAGATGTCTCCATGATGTCCCCATGATGTCCCCAAGTGTCCCCAAGGTATCCCCACATCGCTGAGGTGTCCTCAAGATGTCCCCATGATGTCCCCATGTCCCCCAGATGTCCCTATGATGTCCCCACAATGTCCCCATGGTGTCCCCAAGGTGTCCCCAAGGTGTCCCCAAGGTGTCCCCAGGTGTTCCCCATATCCTCAAGGTGTCCCCAAGTGTCCCCACGATGTCCCCAAGGTGTCCCCAAGGTATCCCCATGTTCATGAGGTGTTTCCAAGGTGTCCCCACGATGTCCCCAAGATGTCCCCATGATGTCCCCATGTGCCCGAGGTGTCTCCAAGGTGTCCCCATGTCCCTGAGATGTCCCCATGATGTCCCCACGATGTCCCCAAGGTGTCCCCATGTCCCTGAGTTGTCCCCAGGGTGTCCCCAAGTGTCCCCAAGGTGTCCCCATATCCCCAAGGTGTCCCCACGGTGTCTCCAAGGTGTCCCCATGATGTTCCCAAGGTGTTCCCCAAGTCCCTGAGATGTTCTCAAGGTGTCCCCAATGTGTTCCCCATGTCCTCAAGGTGTCCCCAAGCTGTCCCCATGATATCTCCAGGTGTTCCCCACGTCCCTGAGGTGTTTCCAAGGTGTCCCGGAGGTGTCCCCATGATGTCCCCAAGGTGTTCCCCATATCCCTGAGGTGTCTCCAAGGTGTCCCCATGTCCCTGAGATGTCCCCAAGGTATCCCCATGTCCCTAAGGTGTTCGCACGATGTTCCCAAGTGTCCCCAAGGTGTCCCCACATCCCCAAAGTGTCCCAAAGCTGCCCCCACGATGTCCCCAGATGTCCCCAAGGTGTCCCCACGATGTCCCCAAGTGTCCCCAGCTGTCCCCAGATGATGTCCCCTATCTGCCGTCCATGGTGTCGCGTATCCAGGTCAGGAACCGACAGATCCAGGTGTGACATTGGTGTCCCATCCCCATGTCCCTGAGGTGTCCCCAAGTGTCCCCAAGGTGTCGCCACATCCTGGAGGTGTCTCCAAGGTGTCCCCACGATGTCCCCATGATGTCCCCAACTGTCCCCACACTGTCCCCACGTCCCTGAGATGTCCCCACCATGTCCCCACAATGTCCCCATGATATCCCCAAGGTGTCCCCAAGATGTCCCCACATCCCTGAGGTGTCTCCAAGGTGTTCCCCATGTTCATGAGGTGTCTCCAAGGTGTCCCCAAGGTATCCCCATGTCCCTGAGGTGTCCCCAGATGTCCCCAAGCTGTCCCCAAGGTGTCCCTACGTCCATGAGGTGTCTCCAAGGTGTTCCCACGTCCCTTAGGTGTCCCCAGGTGTTCCCCAGGTGTTCCCCATGATGTCCATACAATGTCCCCAAGGTGTCCCCACATCCCCAAGATGTCCCCATGATGTCCCCACGATGTCCCACATCCCCGAGGTGTCCCTGAGGTGTCCCCAGATGTCCCCCATGATGTCCCCAAGGTGTCCCCTCTATCTCCCATCCATGGTGTCGCGTATCCAGGTGAGGAACCGGCAGATCCGGGTGTGACATTGGTGTCCCATCCCCGTGTCCCCATGTCCCCGAGGTGTTCCCAAGGTGTCCCCATGATGTCCCCAAGGTATCCCCATGTCCTTGAGGTGTCTCCAAGGTGTCCCCATGATGTCCCCACGATGTCCCCATGATGTCCCCAGGTGTTCCTCATGTCCCCATGATGTCCCCAAGTGTCCCCAAGGTATCTCCATGTCCCTGAGGTGTCCCCAAGGTGTCCCCATGATGTCCCCAAGGTGTCCCCAAGGTATCCCCACGTCCCTGAGGTGTCTCCACGGTGTTCCCCATGTCCCTGAGGTGTCCCCATGATGTCCCCACATTGTCCCCATGTCCCTGAGGTGTCTCCAAGGTGTCCCCACAATGTCCCCAGATGTCCCCCGATGTCCCCATGGTGTCCCCAAGGTGTCCCCATGTTCATGAGGTCTCTCCAAGGTGTCCCCATGATGTCCCTGAGGTGTTCCCCATGTCCCTACAATGTCCCCAGATGTCCCCATGATGTCTCCAAGGTGTCCCCACTTCTCCAAGGTGTCCCCATGTCCCCATTTCCCATCCATGGTGTCCAGGATCCAGGTGTGACCCTCATGTCCCCCATCCTCGTGTCCCCACGATGTCCCCACGTCCCTGAGGTGTCCCAAAGCTGTCCCCAGATGTCCCCAAGTGTCCCCAGCTGTCCCCAGCTGTCCCCTCTATCTGCCGTCCATGGTGTCGCGTATCCAGGTGAGGAACCGGCAGATCCGGGTGTAGACCCCGATGTCCCCACGATGTCCCCATGTCCCCGAGGTGTCCCCAAGGTGTCCCCAAGGTATCCCCACAATGTCCCTGAGGTGTCCCCATGATGTCCCCAAGCTGTCTCCAAGCTGTCCCCAAGGTATCCCCATGTCCCTGAGGTGTCCCCATGTCCTCAAGGTGTCCTCAAGTGTCCCCAAGGTATCCCCACAATGTCCCTGAGGTGTCCCCAGATGTCCCCAAGGTGTCCCCATGATGTCCCCAAGCTGTCCCCATGATGTCCCCAGGTGTTCTCCATATCCCTGAGGTGTCTCCAAGGTGTTCCCCATGTCCCTTAGGTGTCTCCAAGATGTCCCCAAGGTGTCCCCATGATCTCCCCAAGTGTCCCCAAGGTATCCCCATGTCCCTGAGGTGTCTCCAAAGTGTCCCCAAGATGTCCCCAGGTGTTCCTCATGTCCCCACGATGTCCCCAAGTGTCCCCAAGGTATCTCCATGTCCCCAAGGTGTCCCCAAGGTTTCCCCATGTCCCTGCGATGTCCCCAAGGTGTCTCCAAGGTGTCTCCAAGGTGTCCCCAGGTGTTCCCCATGTCCTTGAGATGTTCTCAAGGTGTCCCAAGGTGTCCCCATGATGTCCCCAAGGTGTCCCCATGTCCCTGAGGTGTCTCCAAGGTGTCCCCACAATGTCTCCATGATGTCCCCATGATGTCCCCATGTCCCTGAGATGTTCTCAAGGTGTCCCCAAGGTGTCCCTGGATGCCCCAAAGGTGTCCCCATGATGTCCCCACCATGTCCCCAAGGTGTCCCCATGATGTCCCCGAGGTATCCTCAGGTGTTCCCCATGTCCCTGAGGTGTCCCCAAGGTGTCCCCACATCCCCGAAGTGTCTCCAAGGTGTCCCGAGGTGTCCCAAAGGTGTACCCAAGATGTCCCCAAGGTGTCCCCATGTCCCTGAGCTGTCCCCAAGGTGTCCCGACGATGTCCCCACGCTGTCCCCAGCTGTCCCCAAGATGTCCCCACGATGTCCCCACATCCCCAAAGTGTCCCCAGGGTGTCCCCACGATGTCCCCAAGGTATCCCCATGTCTCCAAGGTGTCCCCAAGTGTCCCCACGATGTCCCCAAGTGTCTCCAAGATGTCCCGAGGTGTCCCAAAGGTGTCCCCAAAGTGTCCCCAGGTGTTCCCCACATCCCCGAGGTGTCCCCATGATGTCCCCAAGGTGTTCCCCATGTCTCCAAGGTGTCTCCAAGGTGTCCCCAAGGTGTCCCCAAGGTGTCCCCAAGGTATCCCCATGTCCCTGAGGTGTGTCCAAGGTGTCCCCAAGTGTCCCAATGTCCCTGAGATGTTCTCAAGGTGTCTCCAAGGTGTCCCTGGATGCCCCAAAGGTGTCCCCAAGGTGTCCCCATGTTCATGAGGTGTTCTCAAGGTGTCTTCAAGGTGTCCCAAGGTGTCCCCAAGCTGCCCCCATGATGTCCCCATGTCCCTGAGGTGTCCCCAAGCTGTCCCCAAGCTGTCCCCAGGTGTTCCCCATGTCCTTGAGATGTTCTCAAGGTGTCCCAAGGTGTCCCCATGATGTCCCCAAGGTATCCCCATGTCCCTGAGGTGTCTCCAAGGTGTCCCCATGATGTCCCCAGATGTCTCCCAATGTCCCCATGATGTCCCCAAGGTGTCCTCACATCCCCAAGGTGTCCCCACGATGTCCCCAAGGTGTCCCCATGGTGTCCAAGATCCAAGTGTGACCCTGGTGTGACCCTGGTGTCCCATCCCCGTGTCCCCACGATGTCCCCATGTCCCTGAGGTGTCTCCAAGGTGTTCCCCATGTCCCTGAGGTGTCCCCAAGTGTCCCCAAGCTGTCCCCAGGTGTTCCCCATGTCCTTGAGATGTTCTGAAGGTGTTCTCAAGGTGTCCCCAGATGTCCTCAAGGTGTCCCTAAGGTATCCCCACATCCTGGAGGTGTCCCCACGATGTCCCCATGATGCCCCCAAGGTGTCCCCATGTCCCTGAGGTGTCCCCATGATGTCCCCAGATGTCCCCAAGGTGTCCCCAAGGTGTCCCCACATCCCCGAGGTGTCTCCAAGGTGTCCTCAAGGTGTCCCCGAGGTGTCCCCATGATGTCCCAAGGTGTCCCCAAGGTATCCCCACATCCTGGAGGTGTCCCCACGATGTCCCCAAGGTATCCCCACGTCCCTGAGATGTTCTCAAGGTGTCTCCAAGGTGTCCCTGGATGCCCCAAAGGTGTCCCCATGATGTCCCCATGATGTCCCCATGTCCCCATGATGTCCCCATGATGTCCCCAAGGAGTCCCCATGTCCCTGAGGTGTCCCCATGATGTCCCCACGATGTCCCCACAGTGTCCCCATGTCCCTGAGGTGTCTCCAAAGTGTCCCCACGATGTTCCCACAATGTCACCAAGGTGTTCCCCATGTCCCCAGGCTGTCCCCAGATGTCCCCAGGCTGTCCCCATGATGTCCCCAAGCTGTCCCCATGATGTCCCCAGGTGTTCTCCATATCCCTGAGGTGTCTCCAAGATGTCCCCAAGGTGTCCCCATGATCTCCCCAAGTGTCCCCAAGGTATCCCCATGTCCCTGAGGTGTCCCCATGGTGTCCCCATGATGTCCCTGAGGTGTTCCCCATGTTCCTACGATGTCCCCACGATGTCCCCATGATGTCCCCACAGTGTCCCCATGTCCCTGAGGTGTCCCCAAGGTGTCCCCATGGTGTCCTCACGTCCCTGAGATGTTCTCAAGGTGTCCCCAAGGTGTCCCCATGATGTCCCCGAGGTGTCCCCATGTCCCTGAGGTGTCCCCATGATGTCCCCACGATGTCCCCAAGTGTCCCCAAGGTGTCCCCATGTACCAGAGATGTCCCCACGATGTCCCTACAATGTCCCCAAGGTGTCCCCACATCCCAAGGTGTCCCCATGACGTTCCCAAGTGTCCCCATGTCCCCGAGGTGTCCCTAAGGTGTCCCCACATCCCTGAGGTGTCTCCAAGGTATCCCCATGTCCCTGAGATGTTCTCAAGGTGTTCTCAAGGTGTCCCCAGGTCCCCGAGGTGTCCCCACGATGTGCCCATGATGTCCCCAAGATGTCCCCATGATGTCCCCAGGTGTTCCCTACGTCCCTGAGGTGTCCCCACGATGTCCCCAAGCTGTCCCCAGCTGTCCCCATGATGTCCCCTATCTCCTGTCCATGGTGTCGCGTATCCAGGTGAGGAACCGGCAGATCCGGGTGTAGACCCCGGGGTGGCCGGGCAGGGCGCAGGTCTGGAGCCCCCAGGACACGACCCCCTGCAGGGTCCCATTGCAGGACAGGGGACCCCCGGAGTCACCCTGGGGTCACAGAGAGGTCAGAGGTCACTCAGGGGTCACTTGGGGTCACTGGTCACTCAGGGGTCACTCAGTGGTCAGGGGTCACTTAAGGTCATTCTGGTCTTCTGGTCATTCATTGGTCACTCATTGGTCACTTGGGGTCACTCAGGGTCACTCAGGGTCACTCAGGGTCACTCAGGGTCACTCAGGGTCACTCAGAGGTCACTCATTGGTCACTCATTGGTCACTCAGGGTCACTCATTGGTCACTCAGGGGTCACTCAGGGGTCACTCAGGGTCACTCATTGGGTCACTCGGGGTCACTCAGGGTCACTCAGGGTCACTCAGGGTCACTCAGGGGTCACTCAGGGGTCACTCAGGGGTCAGTGGATTTTGGTCAGATTTTGGTCCAATTTTAGTCATATTTTGGTCAGATTTTGGGTGAATTTTGGCCATATTTTAGTCACATTTTGTCCCAATTTTGGCCAAGTTTTGGGTGGATTTTGGGTGAATTTTGACCAAATTTTGCCCCGATTTTGCCCATATTTTCCCCATATTTTCCCCATATTTTCCCCATATTTTCCCCTTATTTTCCCCGTATTTTCCCCTTATTTTCCCCTTTTTTTCCCCATATTTTCCCCTTATTTTCCCCTTATTTTCCCCATATTTTCCCCTTATTTTCCCCTTTTTTTCCCCTTATTTTCCCCTTATTTTCCCCTTATTTTGCCCCTATATTACCCATATTTTGCCCTTATTTTGCCCATATTTTGCCCGTATTTTGCCCTTATTTTGCCCATATTTTGGCTGAATTTTGACCGAATTTTGCCCTGATTTTGGCCATACTTTGGCTGAATTTTGGCCATATTTTGGGTGAATTTTGCCCGATTTTGGCCATACTTTGGCCATATATTGCCTGTATTTTGCCTGTCTTTTGTCCGTATTTTGTCCATATTTTGGGTGAATTTTGTCTGTATTTTGTTCGTATTTTGGCCATATTTTGGGTGAATTTTGTCCGGATTTTGCCCCGATTTTGGCCATACTTTGTGTGGATTTGGGCCGGATTTTGGGTGAATTTTGGCCATATTTTGCCCTGATTTTGTCCCGATTTTGTTCCAATTTTGTCCAGATTTGGGTGGATTTTGTCCCGATTTTGTCCTGATTTTGTTCCAATTTTGGCCAGACTTTGGGTGGATTTTGGGCGGATTTTGTCCAGATTTTGGCCACATTTGGGTGGAATTTGGCCAGATTTTGGCCAGACTTCGGTTGAATTTTGGCCATATTTTAGTTACATTTTGGACTGATTTTGTCCTGATTTTGGCCAGATTTGGGTGAATTTTGCCCATATTTTGCCCGTATTTCGCCCGTATTTTGCCCGTATTTTGGGTGAATTTTGCCCGTATTTTGCCCATATTTTGCCCTTATTTGCCCGTATTTTGCCCTTATTTTGCCCGTATTTTGCCCGTATTTTGCCCTTATTTTGCCCGCATTTTGCCCATATTTTGCCCGTCTTTTGTCCGTATTTTGGGTGAAATTTGTCCGGATTTTGCCCTGATTTTGGCCATACTTTGGGTGGATTTGGGCCGGATTTTGGGTGAATTTTGGGCGGATTTTGTCCCGATTTTGGCCAGATTTGGGTGGATTTTGTCCCGATTTTGGCCAACCTTTGGGTGAATTTTGGCCGGGTTTTGGGTAAATTTTGGCCATATTTTGTCCCAATTTTGGCCAGACTTGGGGTGTATTTTGGGTGGATTTTGGCCAGATTTGGGTGAATTTTGCCCCGATTTTGCCCCGATTTTTCCCCAATTTTGGCCATACTTTGGCCGTATATTGTCCGTATTTTGGCTGAATTTTGGCCGCATTTTGGGTGAATTTTGGCGTATTTTGGCCATACTTTGCCTGTATTTTGCCTGTATTTTGTCTGTATTTTGTCCGTATTTTGTCTGTATTTTGGCCATACTTTGGCTGCATTTTGCCCCGATTTTGGGTGAATTTTGCCCCGACTTTGGCCATACTTTGCCCATATTTTACCCGTATTTCGCCCGTATTTTGCCCGTATTTTGGCCATATTTTCCCCGTATTTTGTCCGTATTTTGCCCATTCTTTGCCCCTATTTTCCCCTTATTTTCCCCTTATTTTACCTGTTTTTTACCCTTATTTTGCTCATATTTTGGGTGAATTTTGGCCGGATTTTGCCCCAATTTTGGCCATACTTTGGCCATATTTTGCCCTTATTTTGCCCGTATTTTGCCCCAATTTTGGCCATATTTTGGCCATATTTTGCCCATATTTTGCCCATATTTTGCCCATATTTTGCCCTTATTTTTCCCGTATTTTGCCCATATTTTGCCCGTCTTTCGCCCATATTTTGCCCGTATTTTGGCCATATTTTGCTCGTATTTTGCCCGTATTTTCCCCGCATTTCCCCACCTGGCAGGAGTCGACGCGGCGGTTGCGCACGCCGGCGCAGACCATGCTGGGCGTGATGCGCTGCGGGTACGCGCGCCGGCACGTCTCGTCGGGCAGCAGCTGCACGTAGGCGCAGATCAGGCGGCTCGGGAGGTTCACTGCGGGGAGACGCCCCAAAATTCGCCCCGATGCACCCCGAAATTCCCCCAAATTCACCCCAAAATTTTGTTCCAAAGTTTCCCCCAATTTTTCCCCGATTCCGCCAATATTTCCCCCAAAAATCCCTCAATTTACCCCCCAATTTACCCCCAATTTCACCTCAAAATTTCCCCCAATTTCCCCAAATTTCATGCAAATTCCCCCGTAAATCCCCAAATTTTGCCCAAATTCCCCTCCTATTTCCTCTAATTTCCCCTAAATTTCATGCAATTTTCCCCAAACCCACCCAAATCCCCCCAAATCCCCCAATTCCCCCCAACCCCCCCAAACCCCCCCAAATCCCCCCAAATCCCCCAAAATCCCCCCCAAAATCCCCAAAACCCCTCAAAATTTCCCCCATAATCCCCATATTTCACCCAAATTCCCCCCACATTCTCCAAATTTCACCTAAACTCCCCTCCAATTTCCTCTAATTTCCCCCAAATTCTTCCAAGTTCTCCGAAATTCTCCCCAAATCTCCCCCAAATCTCCCCCCAAACCCCCCAAACCCCCCCAAGACCCCCCAAATTTCCCCAAAATTTCCCAAATCCCCCCCAAATCCCCCCAAACCCCTGAAATTCACCCAAACCCCCCAAAATCCCCCCAAAATTCCCCCAAAACACCCTAATTTCGCCCAAATTTCCCCCAAATTCTCCCATATTCTCCCCAAATTGCTCCCAAATTCCATGCAATTTCCCCCCTAAACCCCCCAAACCCCTCCAAATCCCCCCAAAATCCCCCCAAAATCCCCCCAAACACTCTAATTTCACCCAAATTCTTCCCAAATTTCCCCCAAAGCCCCCAAATTCCCCCCAAACCCCCCAAACCCCCCCAAATTCCTCCGTAAACCCCCAATTTTCCCCCAAATTTCACTAAATTTACCCCCTAAATCCCCAAAATTCCCCCAAATTTCACTAAATTCCTCCAAAATCCCCCAAATTCCCCCTAAATCCCCAAATTTCACCCAAATTTAATACAATTTTCCCCCAAATTTCACTAAATTCCCCCCCAATTTCCCCTAAATCCCCCCTAAATCCCGAAATTTTGCTCAAATTTCACCCAAATTCCTCCCAAATCCCCCAAAACCCCCCAAACCCCCAAATCCCCCAAAATGCCCCCCAAACACTCTAATTTCGCCCAAATTTCATCCAAATTCCACCAAATTCTCCCCAAATTCTCCAAATTTCCCCCAAATTTCCCCCAAATTTTGTACAATTTTCCCCCTAAATCCCCAAATTTCCTCTAAATTCCCCCAAATTTCACTAAATTTCCCCCCTAAATCCCCAAATTTCCCCCTAAATCTCCAAATTTTGCCCAAATTCCCCTCCAATTTCCCCAAATTTCCCCCTAATTTCATGCAATTTTCCCCCTAAATCCCCAAATTTCCCCCAAAACCCCCCAAATTCCCCCAAATTCCCAAAACCCCCCAAATTACCCCCGGAATCCCCCCAAAATCCCCCCAAAATTCCCCCAAACACCCTAATTTCTCAAAATTTCCCCATAATTCTCCTAAATTCTCCCAAATTTCACTAATTTCTCCCAAATTTCATGCATTTTTCCCCAATTTTCCCAAACCCCGCACCCTGCGGCGTGGTGACCGTCCCCCATCCCGACAGCAGACACGTTGTCCCCGCCGGGGCGCAGCTCCGGGGCAGCGCCAGCGCTCGGACGCCGCGGCCGAACGTCACCGGACGGTCCAAGCGGAGCAGCGCCACGTCGTTGTCCAACGTCCCCGGGTCGAAGGACGGGTGTGTCACCGCCTGTGTCACCCGCCGGTCCTGCTCGGAACCCTCGCGGCGAGTCAGGTCGTCCTCGCCAAGGCGGACGCGGAGACCTCTGGGGGTGGAGGGGACATTTGGGGACATTGATGGGATTTGGGGACAATAATGGGATTTGGGGACGTTGGGGACATTGGGGGCGTTGGGGACATTAATGGGATTTGGGGATATTGGGGACATTAATGGGATTTGGGGACATTGGGGACATTGGGGGGATTGGAGGTATTGGGGACATTGGGGAATATTGGGGACATGGTGGATGTTGGGGACATTGGGGGTGTTGGGGACATTGGGGACATTGGGGATATTGGGGACATTGGGGACGTTGGGGGCGTTGGGGACATTTGGGACATTTGGGATATTGGGGGGATTGGGGACATTGGGGATGTTGGGGGGATTGGGGACAATTGGGGACAATGGGGATATTGGGGACATTGGGAAAAAATGGGAGGAAAATGGGAGGAAAATGGGAAAAAAATGGGGAAAATGGATTGGGGACATTGGGGATGTCGGGGACGTTGGGGACGTTGGGGACATTGGGGACATTGCGGGGATTTGGGATATTGGGGGGATTTGGGACATTGGGGACATTGAGGACATTGGGGATATTGAGCAAAAATGGGGAAAAATGGGAGAAAAATACGAAAAAAATGGGAAAAATGGGATTGGGGACATTGGGGACATTGGGGACATTGGGGACATTGGGAAGAAATGGGGGAAAATTGGGAAAAATGGGATTGGGGACATTGGGGACATTGGGGACATTGGGGACATTGGGAGGATTGAGGGGGTTGGGGACATTGGGGACGTTGGGGACGTTAATGGGATTTGGGGACATTGGGGACATTGAGGGGGTTGGGGACGTTGAGGGGGTTGGGGACATTAATGGGATTTGGGGACATTGGGGACATTGGGGGCATTGGAGGGATTGGGGACATTGGGGGTGTTGGGGATGTTGAGGGGATTTGGGGACATTGGGGGTGTTGGGGACATTAATGGGATTTGGGGACATTGGGGACATTGGGGACATTGGGGACATTGGGGGACATTGGGGGGACATTGGGGAAAAATGGGGGAAAATGGGAAAAATGGGATTGGGGACATTGGGGACATTGGGGATGTTGGGGACATTGGGGACATTGGGGATGTTGGGGACATTGGGGGCATTGGGAAAAAATGGGAGAAAAATGGAAAAAATGGGATTGGGGACATTGGGGACATTGGGGACATTGGGGACATTGGGGGCATTGAGGACATTGGGGGGATTGGGGACATTGGGGATGTTGGGGACATTGGGGACGTTGGGGACATTGGGGACATTGGGGACATTGGGGACATTGGGAAAAAATGGGGGAAAAATGGGAAAAAATGGGATTGGGGACATTGGGGACATTGGGGACATTGGGGACATTGGGGACATGTGGGGATGTTGGCGGGATTGGGGACATTGGGGGAGTTGGGACATTGGGGATATTGGGGCATATTGGGGATATTGGGGACATTAATGGGATTTGGGGACATTGGGGACATTGGGGACATTGGGGACATTGGGGGGATTTGGGACATTGGGGACATTGGGGATATTGGGGACATTGGGGACATTGGGGACATTGGGGACATTGGGGACATTGGGGACATTGGGGACATTGGGGGGATTGGGGACATTGCGGACATTGGGGACATTGGGGACATTGGGGATATTGGGGACATTGGGGACATTGGGGACATTGGGGACATTGGGGATATTGGGGATATTGGGGATATTGGGGACATTTGGGACATTGGGGACATGGGGGACGTTGGGGACATTGGGGACATTAATGGGATTTGGGGACATTGGGGACATTGGGGACATTGGGGACATTGGGGATATGGGGACATTGGGGGAATTGGGGACATTGGGGACGTTGGGGACATTGGGGACATTGTGGGGGTGGGGATTTTGGGTACATTGGGGGACATTGGGGACCTTTGGGGACATTGCTGTCCCCTGTCCATGTCCCTGTCCCTATTCCCATGACGTGTCCCCTATCCCCATAAACTGTCCCCAAGGGGTGTCCCCTATCCCCATGAGGTGTCCCCAAGGGGTGTCCCCTGTCCCCAAGGGATGTCCCCAAGGTGTCCCCTCACCTGTGGACGCAGTGGGTGACACTCAGCACCCACTGGGGTCACACCTGGCTGTGTCCCTGTCCCTGTGATGTGTCCCTATCCCAATGAACTGTCCCCATGGGCATGTCCCTGTCCCCATGAGGTGTCCCCAAGGGGTGTCCCCTGTCCCCAAGGGATGTCCCCAAGTGTCCCCTGACCTGCGGACACAGTGGGTGGCACTCAGCACCCACTGGGGTTACACCTGTCCCTGTCCTATCCCCATGAGGTGTCCCCAAGGGGTGTCCCCTGTCCCCATGAGGTGTCCCCAGGGGATGTCCCCTGTCCCCAAGGGATGTCCCCAAGGTGTCCCCTGACCTGCGGACGCAGTGGGTGGCACTCAGCACCCACTGGGGTCACACCTGGCCCTGTCCTTGTCCCTGTGACATGTCCCTGTCCCCATGAACTGTCCCCATGGGATGTCCCCTATCCCCATGAGGTGTCCCCAAGGGGTGTCCCCTGTCCCCAAGGGGTGTCCCCAAGGGGTGTCCCCTGTCCCCAAGGGATGTCCCCAAGGTGTCCCCTGACCTGCGGACGCAGTGGGCGACACTCAGCACCCACTGGGGTCACACCTGACCCTGTCCTTGTCCCTGTCCCCATTCCCAGGGGATGTCCCCTGTCCCCAAGGGGTGTCCCCTGTCCCCATGAGGTGTCCCCAAGGGGTGTCCCCTGTCCCCAAGGGATGTCCCCAAGTGTCCCCAGACCTGCGGACGCAGTGGGCGGCGCTCAGCACCCACTGGGGTCACACCTGACCCTGTCCCTGTCCCTGTGACCTGTCCCCTGTCCCTGTCCCTGTCCCCAAGGGATGTCCCCTGTCCCCATGAGGTGTCCCCAAGGTGTGTCCCCTGTCCCCAGGTGATGTCCCCAAGGTGTCCCCTGACCTGCAGACGCAGTGGGTGACACTCAGCACCCACTGGGGTCACACCTGGCCCTGTCCCCTGTCCCTGTGACCTGTCCCCTGTCCCTGTCCCCATTCCCAGGGAATGTCCCCTGTCCCCATGAGGTGTCCCCAAGGGGTGTCCCCTGTCCCCAAGGGATGTCCCCAAGTGTCCCCAGACCTGTGGACGCAGTGGGTGGCGCTCAGCACCCACTGGGGTCACACCTGGCCCTGTCCTTGTCCCTGTGACCTGTCCCCTGTCCCTGTCCCCATTCCCAGGGGATGTCCCTGTCCCCATGAGATGTCCCCAAGGGGTGTCCCCTGTCCCCAGGCGATGTCCCCAAGTGTCCCCAGACCTGCGGACGCAGTGGGCGGCGCTCAGCACCCACTGGGGTCACACCTGGCCCTGTCCTTGTCCCTGTCCCCATTCCCAGGGGATGTCCCCTGTCCCCAAGGGGTGTCCCCTGTCCCCATGAGGTGTCCCCAAGGGGTGTCCCCTGTCCCCAAGGGATGTCCCCAAGGTGTCCCCTGACCTGTGGACACAGTGGGTGACACTCAGCACCCACTGGGGTCACACCTGGCCCTGTCCCTGTCCCTGTCCCCTGTCCATGTCCCTGTCCCCAAGGGGTGTCCCCTGTCCCCATGAGGTGTCCCCAAGGGGTGTCCCCTGTCCCCAAGGGGTGTCCCCTGTCCCCATGAGGTGTCCCCAAGGGGTGTCCCCTGTCCCCAAGGGGTGTCCCCTGTCCCCATGAGGTGTCCCCAAGGGGTGTCCCCTGTCCCCAAGGGATGTCCCCAAGTGTCCCCAGACCTGCGGACGCAGTGGGTGACACTCAGCACCCACTGGGGTCACACCTGGCCCTGTCCTTGTCCCTGTCCCCATTCCCAGGGCATGTCCCCTGTCCCCAAGGGGTGTCCCCTGTCCCAATGAGGTGTCCCCAAGGGGTGTCCCCTGTCCCCAAGGGATGTCCCCAAGTGTCCCCTGACCTGTGGACGCAGTGGGTGACACTCAGCACCCACTGGGGTCACACCTGACCCTGTCCTTGTCCCTGTGACATGTCCCCTGTCCACGTCCCTGTCCCCAAGGGGTGTCACCTATCCCCATGAGGTGTCCCCAAGGGGTGTCCCCTGTCCCCAAGGGGTGTCCCCTGTCCCCAAGGGATGTCCCCAAGTGTCCCCAGACCTGCGGACACAGTGGGTGGCACTCAGCACCCACTGGGGTCACACCTGACCCTGTCCTTGTCCCTGTGACCTGTCCCCTGTCCCAATGAGGTGTCCCCAAGGGGTGTCCCCTGTCCCCATGAGGTGTCCCCAAGGGGTGTCCCCTGTCCCCAAGGGATGTCCCCAAGTGTCCCCTGACCTGTGGACGCAGTGGGTGGCGCTCAGCACCCACTGGGGTCACACCTGACCCTGTCCTATCCCCATGAAGTGTCCCCAAGGGATGTCCCCTGTCCCCATGGGCGTGTCCCCTGTCCCATGAACTGTCCCCAAGGGGTGTCCCCTGTCCCCAAGGGATGTCCCCAAGTGTCCCCAGACCTGCGGACGCAGTGGGTGGCACTCAGCACCCACTGGGGTCACACCTGACCCTGTCCCCTGTCCCTGTGACATGTCCCCTATCCCCATGAGGTGTCCCCAAGGGATGTCCCCTGTCCCCAAGGGGTGTCCCCTGTCCCCAAGGGATGTCCCCAAGTGTCCCCAGACCTGCGGACGCAGTGGGCGGCCGTCAGCACCCACTGGGGCCGCAGCAGGACCTGTCCTTGTCCCTGTCCCCATTCCCAGGGCATGTCCCCTGTCCCCAAGGGGTGTCACCTATCCCCATGAGGTGTCCCCAAGGGGTGTCCCCTGTCCCCAAGGGATGTCCCCAAGGTGTCCCCTCACCTGTGGACACAGCGGGTGGCACTCAGCACCCACTGGGGTCACACCTGACCCTGTCCTATCCCCATGAGGTGTCCCCAAGGGGTGTCCCCTGTCCCCATGAGGTGTCCCCAAGGTGTGTCCCCTGTCCCCAAGGGATGTCCCCAAGTGTCCCCTGACCTGCGGACGCAGTGGGTGGCGCTCAGCACCCACTGGGGTCACACCTGGCCCTGTCCTTGTCCCTGTCCCCATTCCCAGGGGATGTCCCCTGTCCCCAAGGGATGTCCCCAACGTGTGTCCCCTGTCCCCAAGGGATGTCCCCAAGTGTCCCCAGACCTGCGGACGCAGTGGGTGACACTCAGCACCCACTGGGGTCACACCTGGCCATGTCCTATCCCCATGAGGTGTCCCCAAGGGGTGTCCCCTGTCACCACGAGGTGTCCCCAAGGGGTGTCCCCTGTCCCCATGAGGTGTCCCCATGGGCATGTCCCTGTCCCCAAGGGATGTCCCCAAGGGGTGTCCCCTGTCCCCAAGGGATGTCCCCAAGTGTCCCCAGACCTGTGGACGCAGCGGGTGACGCTCAGCACCCACTGGGGTCACACTTGTCCCTGTCCTTGTCCCTGTCCCCATTCCCAGGGGATGTCCCCTGTCCCCATGAACTGTCCCCATGGGATGTCCCCTGTCCCCATGTGATGTCCCCAAGGGATGTCCCCTGTCCCCAAGGGATGTCCCCAAGTGTCCCCTGACCTGCGGACGGCCCAAATGTGTCCCAGATGTCCCCAAGTGTCCCCAAGTGTCCCCAAATGTGTCCCAGATGTCCCAAATGTGTCCCAAATGTCCCCAGGTGTGTCCCAGATGTCCCCAAATGTGTCCCAGATGTCCCCAAATGTCCCCAGAGGTGTCCCAGATGTCCCCAAGTGTGTCCCAGATGTCCCCAAATGTGTCCCAAATGTCCCCAGGTGTGTCCCAGATGTCCCAAATGTGTCCCAAATGTCCCCAGGTGTGTCCCAAATGTCCCCAAATGTGTCCCAGATGTCCCAAATGTGTCCCAAATGTCCCCAGGTGTGTCCCAGATGTCCCCAAATGTCCCCAGAGGTGTCCCAGATGTCCCCAAGTGTGTCCCAGATGTCCCCAAATGTGTCCCCAAGTGTGTCCCAGATGTCCCCAAGTGTGTCCCAGATGTCCCCAAATGTGTCCCAGATGTCCCCAAGTGTCCCCAAATGTGTCCCAGGTGTCCCCAAGTGTGTCCCAGATGTCCCCAAATGTGTCCCAGATGTCCCCAAATGCATCCTAGATGTCCCCAAATGTGTCCCAAATGTCCCCAAGTGTCCCCAGATGTCCCCAAGTGTCCCCAGATGTCCCCAAATGTGTCCTCAAGTGTCCCCAAGTGTCCCCAAGTGTCCCCTAGGTGTCCCCAAGTGTGTCCCAGATGTCCCCAAGTGTCCCCAAATGTGTCCCAGGTGTCCCCAAATGTGTCCCAGATGTCCCCAAATGCGTCCTAGATGTCCCCAAATGTGTCCCCAAGCGATGTCCCCAAGTGTCCCCTGATCTGTGGACACAGTGGGTGACGCTCAGCACCCACTGGGGTCACACCTGTCCATGTCCCCATTCCCAGGGGATGTCCCCATCCCCACGAGGTGTCCCCATGGGTGACTCCTGTCCCCAAGGGATGTCCCCAAGGGGTGTCCCCTGTCCCCAAGCGATGTCCCCAAGTGTCCCCAGACCTGCGGACGCAGTGGGCGGCCGTCAGCACCCATTGGGGACGCAGCAGGACCTGTCCTTGTCCCTGTGACCTGTCCCCTGTCCCTGTCCCCATTCCCAGGGCATGTCCCCTGTCCCCATGAGGTGTCCCCAAGGGGTGTCCCCTGTCCCCAAGGGATGTCCCCAAGGTGTCCCCAGACCTGCGGACGCAGTGGGTGACACTCAGCACCCACTGGGGTCACACCTGTCCCTGTCCTTGTCCCTGTGACGTGTCCCCTGTCCCTGTCCCCATTCCCAGGGCATGTCCCCTGTCCCCATGAGGTGTCCCCAAGGGGTGTCCCCTGTCCCCAAGGGATGTCCCCAAGTGTCCCCTGACCTGTGGACGCAGTGGGTGACACTCAGCACCCACTGGGTCACACCTGACCCTGTCCTATCCCAATGAAGTGTCCCCATGGGATGTCCCCTGTCCATGTGAGGTGTCCCCTGTCACCATGAGGTGTCCCCAAGGGGTGTCCCCTGTCCCCAAGGGATGTCCCCAAGTGTCCCCTGACCTGCGGACACAGTGGGTGGCACTCAGCACCCACTGGGGTCACACCTGACCCTGTCCTTGTCCCTGTGACGTGTCCCTGTCCCCATGAACTGTCCCCAAGGGGTGTCCCCTATCCCCATGAGGTGTCCCCAGGGGGTGTCCCCTGTCCCCAGGGGATGTCCCCAAGTGTCCCCTGACCTGCGGACGGCCCAAATGTGTCCCAAATGTCCCCAAGTGTCCCCAAGTGTCCCCAAGTGTGTCCCAAATGTCCCCAAATGTGTCCCAGATGTCCCCAAATGTGTCCTAGATGTCCCCAAGGGTGTCCCAGATGTCCCCAAGTGTGTCCCAGATGTCCCCAAGTGTCCCCAGATGTCCCCAAGTGTGTCCCAGATGTCCCCAAGTGTCCCCAAATGTGTCCCAAATGTCCCCAAGTGTGTCCCAGATGTCCCCAAATGCGTCCCAGATGTCCCCAAATGTGTCCCCAAGGGATGTCCCCAAGTGTCCCCTGACCTGTGGACGCAGTGGGTGACACTCAGCACCCACTGGGGTCACACCTGACCCTGTCCTATCCCCATGAGGTGTCCCCATGGGCATGTCCCTGTCCCCATGAGGTGTCCCCTGTCCATGTCCCTGTCCCCAAGGGGTGTCCCCTGTCCCCAAGGGATGTCCCCAAGGTGTGTCCCCTGTCCCCAAGGGATGTCCCCAAGGTGTCCCCTCACCTGTGGACACAGTGGGCGGCGCTCAGCACCCACTGGGGTCACACCTGACCCTGTCCTATCCCCATGAGGTGTCCCCAAGGGGTGTCCCCTGTCACCATGAGGTGTCCCCAAGGGATGTCCCCTGTCACCATGAGGTGTCCCCAAGGGGTGTCCCCTGTCCCCAAGCGATGTCCCCAAGGTGTCCCCAGACCTGCGGACGCAGTGGGCGGCCGTCAGCACCCATTGGGGCCGCAGCAGGACCTGTCCCCATTCCCAGGGCATGTTCCTGTCCCCATGAACTGTCCCCATGGGTGACTCCTGTCCCCATGAGGTGTCCCCAAGGGATGTCCCCTGTCCCCAAGGGGTGTCCCCAAGTGTCCCCTGACCTGCGGACGCAGTGGGCGGCCGTCAGCACCCACTGGGGCCGCAGCAGGACGCCGCCGCAGCGCAGGGGCCCGTAGAGCAGCGCCTGCCAGGGTTGGCTCTGGGGCAGACACGGAGAGCCACCGATGACCCGGATCTGCTCCCGCTCCTCGGGGACACAGCCCGAGGGACACTCGGGGTCCTGGAGAGAGGTGGCACCTGTGGGGACATTGGGGACATTGGGAAAAAATGGGTGAAAAAAGGGAAAAAATGGGTTTGGGGACATTGGGGACGTTGGGGACATTGGGGAAAAATGGGGAACAATGGGAAAAAATGGGTTTGGGGACATTGGGGACATTGGGGACATGGGGACACCACCAGGGCTGTGGGGACATTGGGGACACTGGGGACATTGAGAACATCGGGGACATTGGGGACATTGGGGACAATGGGAAAAAATGGGTGGAAAAAGGGAAAAAATGGGATTGGGGACATTGGGGACATTGGGGACATTGGGGACATTGGGAAAAAATGCGGGAAATTGGGAAAAATGGGTTGGGGACATTTGGGGACATTGGGAAAAAATGGGAGAAAAATGGGAAAAATGGGATTGGGGACATTGGGGACATTGGGGACATTGGGGACATTGAGGACATTGAGGACATGGGGACACCACCAGGGCTGTGGGGACATGGGGACACATGGGGACATTGGGGACATTGGGGACATTGGGGACATTGGGGACATTGGGAAAAAATGGATGAAAAAAGGGAAAAAATGGGGGAAAATTGGGAAAAAATGGGAGGAAAAAGGGAAAAAATGGGACTGGGGACATTGGGGACATTGGGGACATTGGGGACATTGGGGACGTTGAGCACATTGAGGACATCGGGGACATTTGGGGACATTGGGGACATTGGGGGACATTGGGGACATTGAGGACATTGGGGGCGTTGGGGACATTGGGGACATTGGGGGTGTTGGGGACATTGGGGACATTGGGGGTGTTGGGGACATTGGGGACATTGGGGACATTGGGAAAAAATGGGTGAAAAAGGGAAAAAATGGGATTGGGGACATTGGGGACATTGGGGACGTTGGGGACATTGGGGACATTGGGGACATTGGGAAAAAATGGGGAATAATGGGAAAAAATGGGGGGAAATTGGGAAAAATGGGTTTGGGGACATTGGGGACATTGGGGGTGTTGGGGACATTGGGGACCCGGATCTGCTCCCGCTCCTCGGGGACACAGCCCGAGGGACACTCGGGGTCCTGGAGAGAGGTGGCACCTGGGGGGACATCGGGGACGTTGGGGGCGTTGGGGACATTGGGAAAAAATGGGGAACAAAGGGAAAAAATGGGGGAAAATTGGGAAAAAATGGGGGAAAATTGGGAAAAATGGGATTGGGGACATTGGAGACATTGGGGACATTGGGGACATTGGGGACATTGGGGACATTGGGGACATTGGTGACATTGAGGGGGTTTGGGACATTGAGGACATTTGGGGACATTGGGGACATTGGGGACATTGGGGACACCACCAGGGCTGTGGGGACATTGGGGACATTGGGGACATTGAGGGGGTTTGGGGCGTTTGGGGGATTTGGGACATTGGGGACATTGGGGACATTGGGGACATTGGGAAAAAATGGGAGGAAAAATGGAAAAAATGGGATTGGGGACATTGGGGACACTGGGGACATTGGGGACATTGAGGACATGGGGACACCACCAGGGCCGTGGGGACATGGGGACACATCGGGACATTGGGGACATTGGGGACATTGGGGACATTGAGGACATTTGGGACATTGGGGACATTGGGAAAAAATGGGTGGAAAAAGGGAAAAAATGGGATTGGGGACATTGGGGACATTGGGGACATTGGGGACATTGGGGACATTGGGGATGAATGGGGACATTGGGGACATTGGGGACATTGAGGACATGGGGACACCACCAGGGCTGTGGGGACATTGGGGACATTGAGGACATTGGGGACATTGGGGACATTGGGGACATTGGGGACATGTGGAGACATTGGGGACATTGGGGACATTGGGGACACCAGGTGTGGCACCTCATGGGGACGCCGCCATCGGGTGTGGCACCTCCACGGGGACAATGCCACCCGGATTGTCACCCGGGCCACCAGGTGTGGTGACAATGCCACCAGGTGTGTCCCCAGGGGTGCCCAAGTGTCCCCAGATGTCCCCAAATGTGTCCCAAATGTCCCCAAATGTGTCCCAGATGTCCCAAATGTGCCCCAGATGTCCCCAAGTGTGTCCCAGATGTCCCCAAGTGTGTCCCCAAATGTGTCCCAAATGTCCCCAAATGTGTCCCAAATGTCCCCAAGTGTCCCCAAATGTGTCCCAGATGTCCCCAAGTGTCCCCAAATGTGTCCCAGATGTCCCCAAATGTGTCCCAGATGTCCCCAAATGTCCCCAAATGTCCCCAGATGTCCCCAAGTGTCCCCAAATGTCCCCAAGTGTGTCCCAGGTGTCCCCAAATGTCCCCAGATGTCCCCAAATGTGTCCCAGGTGTCCCCAAATGTCCCCAGATGTCCCCAAATGTGTCCCAGATGTCCCCAAATGTCCCCAAATGTGTCCCAGGTGTCCCCAAATGTCCCCAAGTGTCCCCAAGTGTCCCCAAGTGGCCCCAGATGTCCCCAAATGTGTCCCAGATGTCCCCAAATGTGTCCCCAAGTGTCCCCAAATGTCCCCAAGTGTCCCCAAGTGTCCCCAAGTGGCCCCAGATGTCCCCAAATGTGTCCCAGATGTCCCCAAATGTGTCCCAAATGTCCCCAAACCTGTCCCAGATGTCCCCAAGTGTGTCCCAGATGTCCCCAAATGTGTCCCCAAGTGTCCCCAAGTGTCCCCAAATGTCCCCAAGTACCTGAGATCAGCAGCAGCAGCAGCAGCGTCTCCACGGCCCTGAGGTGACACGGGAGGTGACACGGGAGGTGACACAGATGGTGACACATGAGGTGACACGGGAGGTGACACGGGAGGTGACACAGTCGGTGACACGGGAGGTGACACGGGAGGTGACACATGAGGTGACACAGTCGGTGACACGGGAGGTGACACAGTCGGTGACACACGGGAGGTGACACGGGAGGTGACACGGGAGGTGACACGTGAGGTGACACGGGAGGTGACACGGGAGGTGACACGGGAGGTGACACAGGAGGTGACACGGGGGGTGACACGGGAGGTGACACATGAGGTGACAGACGGTGACACGTGAGGTGACACGGGAGGTGACACACGGGAGGTGACACACGGGAGGTGACACGTGAGGTGACACGGGAGGTGACACAGACGGTGACACGGGAGGTGACACGGGAGGTGACACGGGAGGTGACACAGGAGGTGACACGGGAGGTGACACGGGAGGTGACACACGGGAGGTGACACAGTCGGTGACACACGGGAGGTGACACGTGAGGTGACACATGAGGTGACACATGAGGTGACACATGAGGTGACACGGGAGGTGACACGAGGGGTGACACGGGAGGTGACACGGGAGGTGACACAGGAGGTGACACATGAGGTGACACGGGAGGTGACACGGGAGGTGACACGGGGGTGACACGCGTGTCCCCGCTGCCCCTCCCCCACGGTTTGGCCCCTCCCTCCTTTCCCTCCTCCCTTTTTCCCATTTTCCCTCATTTTTTCCCCATTTTTCCCCATTTTTTCCCCATTTTCCCTCATTTTTCCCCCATTTTTTCCTAATTTCCCCTCATTTTTTCCCTCATTTTCGCCCATTTTTTCCTCATTTTTCCCTCATTTTTCCTTCATTTTCCCCCCATTTTTCCTCCTTTTCCCCATTTTTTCCCTAATTCTCCCCATTTTTCCTTCTTTTTTCCCTCATTTTCCTCATTTTCCCCCTATTTTTCCTTCTTTTTCCCCTCCTTTTTCCCCATTTTTATCTCCTTTTCGCCATTTTCCCTCATTTTCCCCCAATTTTTCCTCGTTTTCCCAATTTTTCCCGAATTTCCCCCATTTTCCTTCTTTTTTCCCAATTTTCCCTCCTTTTCCCTAATTTTTCCTCATTTCCACTCTTTTTTCCTAATTTTCCCCCATTTTCCCTTTTTCCCCCTCATTTTCCCCCATTTCCCCTCTTTTTTCCTTATTTTTCCCCATTTCCCCTTCTTTTTTCCCAATTTCTCTCATTTTCCCCCATTTTTCCTCCTTTCCCCCCATTTTCCCTCATTTTCCCTCATTTTCCCCCAATTTTTCCTCGTTTTCCCAATTTTTCCCGAATTTCCCCCATTTTCCTTCTTTTTTCCCCATTTTCCCCCATTTTTCCCCCCAATATTTCCCATATTTTCCCCCAATTTTCCCCCAAATATTCCCCATATTCCCCCCAAATATTTCCCATATTCCCCCCAATATTTCCCCTTATATTTCCCATATTTCCCCCAATATTTCCCCCAATTATTCCCCCCAATATTCCCCAATTATTCCCCCAATATTCCCCAATATTTCCCCCCAATATTTCCTATATTTCCTCCAATATTTTCAATATGTTCCCCCAATTTTTCCCTTATTTTCCCATATTTTTCCCCAATTTCCCCCCAATATTTCCCCAATTTTTCTCCCCAATATTTCCCATATTTCCCCCCAATATTCCCCCCCAATATTCCCCCCCAATATTCCCCCCCAATATTCCCAATATTCCCCCCAATATTTCCAATATTTCCCCCAATATTTCCAATATTTCCTCCAATTTTCCCCCAACATTCCCCTAAATATTTCCCATATTCCCCCCAATATTTCCCTCCAATATTTCCCCCAATATTTCCCATATTTCCCCCAATATTCCCCTCAATATTTCCCCCCTATTTTTCCCCTATTTCCCCCCAATATTTTCCCCAATATTTCCCCTATTTTTTCCCCAATATCCCCCCCAATATTTCCAATATTTCCCCCAATTTTTCCCCTATTTCCCCCCAATTTTCCCCCAATTTTCCTCCAACATTTCCCCCTTTATTTCCAATATTTTCCCCCAATTTTCCCCCAATTTTCCCCCTATTTCCCCCAAATTTTCCCCAATATTCCCCCCAATTTTTCCCCAATTTCCCCCAATTTTCCCCCAATATTTCCAATATTTCCCTCAATATTTCCCATATTTCCCCCAATATTTCCCATATTTTCCCCTCAATATTCCCAATAATTCCCCCCAATATTTCCCACAATATTTCCCATATTCCCCCCAATATTTCCCCCCAATATTTCCCCTATTTTCCCCCAATATTTTCCCCAATATTCCCAATATTCCTCCCACTATTTCCCCTATTTTCCCCCCAATTTTTCCCCCCAATATTTCCCTTAATATTTCCCATATTTTCCCCAATATTTCCTCCAATATTCCCAATATTCCCCCCAAATATTCCTCATATTTTCCCCCAATATTTCCCTTAATATTTCCCATATTTTCCCCCAAATTTTCCCCTATTTCCCCCCAATATTCTCCACATTTCCCCCCCAATATTCCCCCAATATTTCCTATATTTCCCCCAATTTTCCCCCAACATTCCCCTAAATATTTCCCATATTTTCCCCAATATTTCTTCCAATATTCCCTATATTTCCCCCAATATTTCCCCCAATATTTCCCATATTTCCCCCCCAAATATTTCCCATATTTCCCCCCAATATTCCCCATATTTTCCCCCAATATTTCCCTCAATATTTCCCCCAATTTTTCCCCAATATTTCCCTTAATATTTCCCATACCCCCCCCAATATTTCCCATATTTCTCCCCATATTTCCCCCAATATTTTCAATATGTTCCCCCAATATTTCCCATATTTTCCCACAATATTTCCCCCAATATTCCCCATATTTTCCTCCAATATTTTCCCCCAAAATTCCCCATATTTCCCCCAATATTTCCCATATCCCCCCCAATATTCCCCCCAATATTCCCATATTTTCCCCCAATTTTTCCCCTATTTTCTCCCAATATTCCCCCCAATTTTTCCCCCAATTTTTCCCCAATATTTCCCCATATTTTCCCCAAACATTCCTCATATTTTCCCCCAATATTTCCCTTAATATTTCCCATATTTTCCCCAATATATACCCCAATATTTCCCATATTTTCCCCCAATTTTTCCCCATATTTTCCCCCCAATATTCCCCCAAAATTTCCCCAATATTCCCAATATTCCCCCCAATTTTCCCATATTTTTCCCCAATTTCCCCCAATTTTCCCCCTATTTTCCACCATTTTTCCCCCCAACATTTCCCATATTTTCCCCAATATTTTCCCCAATTTTTCCCATATTTTCCCCAATATTTCCCCAATATTTCCCCCCAATATTTCCCATATTTTCCCCCAATATTTTCCCCCAATATTTCCCATATTCCCCCCAATTTTCCCCCAACATTCCCCTAAATATTTCCCATATTTTCCCCAATATTTCCTCCAATATTCCAAATATTTCCCCCAATATTTCCAATATTTTCCCCTATTTTCCCCCAATTTTTCCCCAATATTTCCAATATTTCCCCCAATTTTTCCCCAGTTTTCCCCCATTTTTCCTCCAACATTCCCCCCAATACTCCCCATATTCCCCAACAATATTCCCAATTTTCCCCCCAATATTTCCCTCAAAATTCCCAATATTTCCCCCGAATATTTCCCATATTTCCCCCCAATATTTCTCTTAATATTTCCCATATTTTCCCCAATATTTCCCCCAATATTCCCCATATTTCCCCCCAATTTTTCCCCTATTTCCCCCCAATTTTTCCCCCCAATATTTGCCCCAATATTTCCCCCCAATTTTTCCCCAATTTTCCCCCAATTTTTCCCCTATTTTCCTCCAACATTTCCCCCAATATTTCCCATATTCCCCCCCATATTTCTCCCAAAATTCCCCATATTTCCCCCCCATATTTCCCCCCAATTTTTCCCCTATTTTTCCCCAATATTTCCCTAAATATTTCCCATATTTTCCCCAATATCCCCCCCATTATTTCCAATATTCCCCCCAATTTTTCCCCTATTTCCCCCCAATTTTCCCCCAACATTCCCCTAAATATTTCCCATATTTTCCCCCAATATTTCCCCCAATATTTCCAATATTTCACCCAATATTTCCCCTATTTTCCCCCAATATTTCCCCCAATTTTTCCCCTATTTCCCCCCAATATTTCCCTTAATATTTCCTATATTCCCCCCAAATATTTCCCCTATTTCCCCCAATATTCCCCATATTTCTCCCAAAATTCCCCATATTTTCCCCTATTTCTCCCCAATATTTCCCATAATATTTCCCATATTCCCCCCAATATTTCCCATATTCCCCCCCAATTTTCCCCCAACATTCCCCTAAATATTTCCCATATTTTCCCCAATATTTCCTCCAATATTCCCTATATTTCTCCCAATATTTTCAATATGTTCCCCAAATTTTCCCCCAATATTCCCCCCAATTTTTCCCCAATTTTTCCCCATATTTTCCCCCCTATTTTCCCCCAATTTTCCCCCAACATTCCCCTAAATATTTTCCATATTTCCCCCAATATTTCCCATATTTCCCCCAATATTCCCGTCAATATTTCCCCATATTTTTCCCCAATATTCCCCCCAATATTCCCCCCAATATTTCCCTTAATATTCCCCAATATTCCCCAATATCGCCCCCCCAATTTTTCCCATATTTCCCCCCAATATTCCCCATATTTCCCCCCAATATTTCCCATATTCCCCCCAATATTTCCCTTATTCCTCCCCAATTTCCCCCCAATTTTCCCCCCAATTTTCCCCAAATTTTCCCCCAATTTTCCCCCAATTTTTCCTCTATTTCCCCCCAATATTTCCCTTAATATTTCCCATATTTTCCCCAATATTTCCCCTATTTTCCTCCAATTTTTCCCCTATTTCCCCCCAATATTTCCCATATTTTCCCCATATTTCCCCCCAATATTTCCCATATTCCCCCCAATATTTCCCTAATTTTT